AAAAAAAAAAAAAACAAACAAACAAACAAACACAGAGGATAAATAATCTTCATAGTTATCATTGTCTCATTCTATTGATATTGAATCTCGTATTATCGTATGGGTCCCGCAACTCAATTCCAGAACTAGTTCAACTTAAAGAATGCCCGTTCTTAAATTGTTAATAATATTTTTTACGCTTCCGGCCGACATAGCATTTCATGCACATACTTGATTCTTGGCTAATATGAGACGTGTTTATATAAGACGCTCAGAAAAGTATTTCCAATGGGATAATATGTTTCTCAAGACGTCTTTCGATCTACTAAGTAAATATTTCATGTGTCACTAGAGTGCGCTGCAAAAATGGCGCCTTTGAAATCCCTTGTGGCCTTGCTCAGTGCCAATGTGCTTCCTTCAGTATTGGCAGAGCTTGTGAAATTCGAAGTGGATCTGACTTGGGCGAAAGGTGCTCCAGATGGCAACCTTCGAGATATGATCTTCGTGAATGACCAATTCCCCGCCCCTCAGTTGACACTGAACCAATACGATGATGTTGAGGTACGTCTTTGGATATAGATATATACATATATATCCTTTCGTCATTGTTCGCCACATATTTCTATTTACTAATCTTCCATAGTTCACGGTACATAATCAGATGCCCTTCAATGCTACCGTTCATTTTCATGGGATAGAGTATGTACAGCACTACGACCACTTCTTCTAATACTCAGCCTTAAGGGTGGTTGCTCAATGACGGGACTCTAACTTTGTACAGGCAACTAAACACCCCGTGGTCGGATGGCGTTCCTGGATTGACGCAGAAGCCGATTTTACCTGGAGGGTCATTTACCTACCGATGGACTGCCACAGAGTATGGCACATATTGGTACCATGCCCACGCCAGATCCCTGATGGCGGACGGTCTCTACGGAGCTATTTGGATCAAGTGTGTACTGAGGTGACCTCAAATATGTGCAAAAGCTGACATGATAAGCCCCGCCCCCGAGGTCCCACAGCCGTTTCACTTGATATCCGATGATGAAAAGGATATTGAAGCCATGCAAAAAGCAGAGAGTGACCCTAAGCTCGTCATTTTATCGGACTGGTCACATTATACTTCAGAGGAATACCAAACAATCATGGAGGAGAGTGGGGTAGATCTTTTGTACGCCCCCCGTTACTAGAGCAAATAGGTCATTTTACTGACAATAGTCCATCAGCTGTGTTGACAGTATTCTGATTAACGGGCGAGGACGCGTGCATTGTCCTGGAGCCGATTTTATCAACAGCCTCCAAACGGACTATTTGAAAGCCTCCATTGATAATCTGCCTCTAACCGATAGAGGGTATGTTTTCTTCCCCAAAAAAGAGCCGATATCTCGCTAATGAACAATTGAAAGATGCTATCCCAAAATCTACAAGACCCAAGGAAGCTTCCCCCGAAACGATTCAAAGGTTCCACCTGGGCTAGAGTCAGGCTGCGTCGCCACAGCTGGGACTCATGAAGTAATTGAAGTTGATCCAGAGGACGGATGGGTCAGTATGAAATTCATCAGTGCCGCATGGCTTAAAGCTTTTATCGCATCTATCGACGAGCACCCTATGTGGATCTACGAAGTTGACGGCCATTACATTGAGCCTCAACTCGCACACACTATGGTGATGTACAATGGCGAGCGCTACTCTGCAATGGTTAAACTAGACAAGACCCCGAAAGACTATACGATTAGGATCCCCGACACAAATGCTGATCAGATCATCGCGGGCTTTGCCACTATGAGATACAAGGGCAGTAATCAAACTGGAGAATCCGAACCCTATGTCGATTATGGCGGGCTAAACACAACCGCTGACGTGATCGCCTTAAACGAGAGTCTGTTGGTACCGTACCCCAGCATTCAGCTTCCGACAGCTGCCGACCAGCTGATCAACCTCACCTTTGGTCGGCGAGAGTCGGCATATCAGTGGACACTTGAAGGGAAGCAGCTGTATGACGTTATGGCCAACTACGACGATCCGATCCTCTATAATCTAACCGCGAAGGAGAACTTGGGCGATAAAGTTACCGTCCAAACTCAGAATGGAACCTGGGTTGATATTTTGCTTCAGGTTGGCATAATGCCGGACACCCCACCGATTCAGGCGCCCCATATCATCCACAAACACTCGAACAAAGCTTTCATCGTCGGGGAAGGCGACGGGTTCTTCAACTGGACGAGTGTCGCCGAGGCAGCCACGGAGAGACCGGAGCTCTTCGAATTTGAGCGACCGCGGTTGCGAGATACTTATATGGTACTGGGTCTTCTTGGTCCCAGATGGATGGTCATTCGATACCAAGTGGTTAACCCGGGTCCTTTCCTCATCCATTGCCATATTGAAACACATCTAGCCAATGGCATGGGGGTTGCTTTACTTGATGGCGTCGACGAATGGCCGGAGGTTCCACCGGAATATGCTCTTTGATCTCTTTTCCTTCCAGATCGGGGCTTGTCATGTATGACTAATCATCTTCGGGCTTTGCTTCTGTATATAATACGTAATTTTATCTAATATCTGATTGTTCGAGACTTACTTTCAAGAGAGAAATCATCATTATCGATAGAGTTTTAAGCGGAACCGCTGCATTGATAGCCATGGGTTAGGGTTCGGATAGGAAGTAGATGTAACGTTAGAAAAGTGTGTCTACAAAAGATCCAATTTTTTTTCTTTTTTCCTCCTTTTCTAAATGGTAAATGATTGCACCATTTTCCCTGGTGTTCGATTCTTCTCATCGCTCCGATGTTACATAGCATTTGATTTGAGATAATGTGTTTATTGATAGCATGGTGGTATCTAGTACGGTAGTATGCTGGTGCTCATTGAGGCAGCCAGATTAGCTCTGGTCGAATACATACGGACTCTTCTAGAACTGGATTTCTAGTCAGCTTATGTTATACTTTAGTCACTGATATAATATGATGTGGTGAAGTCGAATGAGCACATCCTATGTCATAACTAAGCAGTCCTGTTCCTACCTAGTAGTAGCTAGCAAATTTATAGGTGTACTGCGTAGAAAAAGTGAATTAAATGCACCGGCCCCTTTGTGGGAGTCTCCATTTATGAAAAAGCCGAGCTAAGCCCCAGTCACCAGCATATTTACAGAGTATGTCAAATGAAAGCAGGGAATGCTCGTTGTTTTTGCCTTTGGGGCATGGAAGGGGGCATGGGAGCGACACGTGACCGCGAGGGTCATCTTCACTATTACCGAATGCGGCGAAGACTCCTGCTAACGTTACAACGACGAGAACAGACTTTTGCCAACAGTTCGTGTCTCCCAATGCAATTGAATCAAGACCAATCATCTATGTCATTGATCAGTGTTCTGCACGCATATGCAAAGCTTGCTTGCCGGCTGGATGTGCCTTGAGCTTCGGAAACAGGGTTTGGAACATCCACCTCCTTACGGTAGCGACGTGGCTGACCTGACGTGTACCACAAATTGTCTCGCAGGGAGGCAAATTCTCGAGTCTAGAATTGTATATATACAGTGTCAATATGATTCAAGGTGGATGTCAGCGGTCTCAAGAGCGTAACGGTAGGATTCGCCAGACCGACTCTCAGACCATATTGGCAATTGACCACCTAAGCTCCAATGGAGATGGTCGTTATCACGTCCATAATATGGTCTTGGCTTCCCAAGAATAGTAAAAGACTCTAGAAGATTTTGACAATGTGACCTCATTCATTTGGCTGGAAACGAGCTTGTGATCGCCCCTCGAGTGTTTGGTGGAATGCTCGTCCAAGTCCTGTGCATGCCGTAATTGAGACATAGTCTCCACTGTCGCATGTGGTAGTAACTCTATCTTGGTATAAATCATATTTAATATCTAGCCAATTGCTTTGGGAAAACAATTTGATCTGCATCTCTGCAACTCTTGACTGGCACTTCCTTGACCCAACATGGAGGGGCCACGCGGCGTCTATCTCTTCGGAGACCAGACAAGTGATTTCGACGCCGGCTTACGTCGCCTCCTACAGGTAAAGAATAATACAATTGTCGCATCGTTCTTCCAGAGATGCTTCCACGCTTTGCGCCAAGAGATCGCGAGGCTTCCACCATCTGAGCGGAAGATCTTCCCCCGGTTTACAAGCATAGTGGATCTACTGGCGCGTCACAGGGAGTCAGACCCTAATCCGGCTCTGGAGAGCGCATTGACCTGCATCTATCAGTTGGGAAGCTTTATAAAGTACGTGTAACTGCAGATCCTGACCCGTTTGACTGAGACTAACCTGAGATAGCTACTACGGAGACCTTGGGAACGTGTACCCATCTGCTTCAGAGTGCCATATTATTGGCCTGTGCGCGGGTCTTCTTAGTTCTGCAGCTGTAAGCTCTGCGACCAATGTTGGAGAACTGCTCCCGGCTGCAGTTGAAGCGGTGGTGATAGCTCTCCGGCTTGGTCTATGCGTCCTGAAAGTTAGAGAGCTAGTGAGCTCTGACCAAGCGTCGTCAACAAGCTGGTCAGTCTTGGTTTCAGGGATCAGCGAGAAAGATGCTTCAAAGGTTATAGGAGAGTTCACTGTTGAACGGGTAAGTCAATTGACCTGAGATACTCCGCAGGGCTGAGTGTTCTAATGACCGGATAAAGGCAATTCCTCCTTCATCCAAACCGTACATCAGTGCGGTGGGATATAACAGTATTACCATCAGCGCACCGCCCAAGGTCCTTGATGATTTAATTGGAACTAGGCTTTCTAAAAGCCATAAGCCGGTTAGAGCGCAAATTCATGGTCCTTACCACGCAGCACATCTGTATGATAGCCGAGATGTTGACAGGATCCTCGAAAGCTGCCCTAATGAGGCCGTCTCAAACTACACACCTCGTATCCCCGTACTATCAAGTACTACGGGAAAGCCGATAGAGGCTAAACAAATGAAGGATCTACTTAAAGCCGCGCTTGAAGAGATTTTATTACGTCAGCTATGCTGGGAGAAGGTGACCGATTCCTGCTCTTCCATATTAAAAACTGCTCGTCATCAAACATGCAAGTTGTTCCCAATCTCGAGCACCGCGACACAAAGCTTGTTTACAGCTCTTACAAAGGCCGGGATAACCAATATTGAAGTGGAAAATGGGCTCGGAGATATTTCCACGACCCCGAAGGACAACCTTAACATCAGCGGCAGGGCCGATTGCTCAAAGATAGCTATCATTGGCATGTCTGGGCGATTTCCAGAATCTGATGGCACAGAGAACTTCTGGGACCTTCTGTATAACGGCCTCGATGTGCATCGGAAGGTGCCTGCAGAGCGTTGGGATGTTGATGCACACGTTGATCCTACTGGAACAAAGCGGAATACCAGCAAGGTTCCATACGGATGCTGGATAAACGAACCGGGATTATTTGACCCCCGCTTCTTCAATATGTCACCTCGCGAAGCCCTCCAGGCAGATCCCGCCCAGAGACTTGCATTGCTCACGGCCTATGAAGCTCTTGAAATGGCCGGCTTTATCCCGGACAGCACCCCGTCGACCCAGAGGGATCGGGTCGGTCTTTTCTATGGCATGACTAGCGACGACTATCGTGAGATAAATAGTGGTCAAGATATTGATACATACTTTATCCCCGGTGGCAATCGCGCTTTCACACCTGGTCGGATAAACTACTATTTCAAGTTCAGTGGGCCCAGCGTCAGCGTTGATACAGCTTGTTCTTCAAGTCTGGCTGCTATTCACATGGCTTGCAATTCGATCTGGAGAAATGACTGCGATGCAGCTATTGCTGGAGGTGTCAATATATTGACAAACCCTGATAACCATGCTGGTCTTGACCGTGGCCATTTCCTGTCCAGAACCGGGAATTGTAACACATTCGACGATGGCGCTGATGGCTACTGTAGAGCAGATGGAGTGGGTACAATCATTCTGAAGCGGCTGGAAGATGCTCAGGCAGACAACGATCCAATCCTCGGTGTGATCAATGGGGCCTATACCAATCATTCGGCAGAAGCAGTCTCAATTACCCGCCCTCATGTTGGCGCACAAGCGTTTATCTTTAATAAACTATTGAACGATGCCAATATCGACCCCAAGGACGTCAGCTATGTTGAAATGCATGGAACCGGTACGCAAGCTGGGGATGCGGTGGAAATGCAATCGGTCTTGGATACATTTGCTCCCGACTACCGCCGTGGACCAGGACAGTCCCTCCATCTTGGTTCCGCCAAAGCAAATGTTGGCCATGGAGAATCAGCATCTGGTGTAACTGCGCTTGTGAAGGTGCTTCTAATGATGAAGAAGAACACCATACCCCCTCATTGTGGTATAAAGACCAAGATCAACCACAACTTTCCCACAGATCTCGCGCAGCGCAATGTTCACATTGCCTTCCAACCTACACCTTGGAACAGACCAGCTTCTGGAAAGCGGCAGTGCTTCATTAACAACTTTTCCGCGGCTGGTGGAAATACCGCTCTTTTGTTGGAGGACGCTCCGATTCCTGCAGTTAAGGGACAAGATCCTCGATCTGTTCACGTTGTGGCTGTATCAGCACGATCTCAGAGTGCGCTCAAACACAATATCAACTCCCTTGTAAAATACATTGATGAACAAGGAAGGTCATTCAATGTGAACGAGGCTGAGTTTATCCCAAGCTTGGCATACACCACCACAGCACGGCGTGTTCACCACCCATTCCGTATTACAGCCATCGGATCTAGCCTGCAGGAGCTGCGTGACTCGCTTAACAACAGCTCTCGTCTGGAAAGCTTTACCCCTATCCCTGCAACGGCCCCTGGCGTAGGGTTCGCGTTCACTGGCCAAGGGGCTCAGCACACTGGAATGGGAAGGCAACTGTACGAAAAATGTTCTCAATTCAGGGCGACAATGCAGCATTTCGATTGCATCAGTCAAAGCCAAGGGTTTCCTTCGATTCTTCCTTTGGTTGACGGAAGCGTGCCCGTGGAGGAGCTGGGCCCTGTCGTGACACAGCTCGGCACCACATGCCTTCAGATGGCTTTGGTCAACTACTGGGATTCACTAGGTATAAAGCCTGCTTTTGTTCTTGGGCATAGTCTTGGGGAGTTTGCTGCCCTGAATACCGCAGGGGTATTATCGACTTCCGATACTATCTACCTTTGTGGTCGTCGGGCTACGCTTCTTACACAGCACTGCCAGGTTGGAACACACGCCATGCTGGCTGTCAAGGCTTCCTACCCACAGGTCAAGCAGTTGCTGAAAGAAGGTGTGGATGAAGTTGCTTGTGTCAACTCACCCAGTGAAACAGTCGTCAGTGGCCTCACCGCCGATATTGATGAATTGGCTCAAAGGTGTTCCACCGAAGGCTGGAAGTCAACTAAGCTGAGGGTACCGTTCGCTTTCCATTCTGCCCAAGTTACTCCAATTCTTGAACGGTTTCAAGAAGAAGCCCAGGGTGTCACGTTCCATAAGCCGTCGTTGCCGTTTGTTTCCTCACTCCTCGGGGAAGTTATCACCGGGTCTAATTACGATGTTCTGGGAGCTCAATATATGGTGAAGCAGTGCCGGAGGTCGGTGAACTTCCTTGGCGCTCTCGAGGCTACTAGATATGCGAAGTTGATGAATGATAAGACTGTCTGGCTTGAAGTTGGTGCCCATACCATTTGCTCTGGTATGATCAAAGCAACATTCGGTCCTCAGGTCACCACCGTGGCATCTCTTCGCCGAGAGGAGAATGCATGGAAGGTCCTCTCCAATAGTCTGTCGGCCCTTCATTTGGCTGGCATTGATATTAATTGGAAAGAATATCATCAAGACTTTAGCTCCAGCCACCAGGTGCTCGCACTTCCATCCTACAAGTGGGATCTCAAGAACTACTGGATACCCTACACTAACAACTTCTGCCTTACGAAGGGTGCTCCACAAGGTGCAATTCAAGCTGCACCACAAGCTACATTCTTGACCACTGCTGCGCAAAAGGTTGTTGAAAGTCGCGACGACGGTGCAACAGCAACTGTCGTGGTGCAAAATGACATCGCTGATCCCGAGTTGAACCGTGTTATCCAAGGTCACAAAGTCAATGGAGCCGCACTTTGTCCATCGGTAAGTATTACATGTATCCGCAGGCTATCATGTGCCATAATTCGGCTACTAACACCTATACTATAGTCACTTTACGCAGATATCGCCCAGACACTTGGAGAATACCTTATCCAGAAATACAAACCTGAGTTCAAAGATCTTGGTCTCGATGTGTGTGACATGGTCGTGCCGAAGCCACTCATCGCGAAGGGAGGAGAGCAGCTCTTTAGAATCTCTGCTACTGCTAATTGGGCAGAGAAGAAGGCTTCGGTTCAGGTATACGCTGTCAATGCCGAGGGCAAAAAGACCGTGGACCATGCGCAATGTACATTGAAGTTCTTTAATACCAATGCCTCCGAGCTCGAGTGGAAGAGAATCTCGTATCTAGTCAAGAGAAGCATCGACAGCCTCCACCAGAATGCAGAAACAGGGGAGGCTCACCGTATCCAGCGAGGAATGGTGTATAAACTTTTCAGCGCATTGGTTGATTATGATGACAACTTCAAGTCGATTCGTGAGGTTATCCTGGACAGCGATAACAATGAGGCCACTGCTCGTGTCAAATTCCAAGCACCGCCAGGCAATTTCCATCGAAACCCATTCTGGATTGACAGTTTCGGTCACCTGTCTGGGTTCATCATGAACGCAAGCGACGCGACCGACTCGAAGAATCAAGTATTTGTTAATCATGGATGGGATTCAATGCGCTGCCTGAAGAAGTTCTCGCCTGATGTCACTTATCGCACTTATGTGAGGATGCAACCATGGCAAAACAGCATTTGGGCTGGAGATGTCTACATCTTTGAGGGTGACGATATCATTGCTGTCTTTGGAGGTGTCAAGGTGGGTACCTCACTACTGCTCTTGGTTTCCGTTTTGCTGACATGATGATTAGTTCCAAGCACTGGCACGCAAGATACTTGACACTGTTCTTCCTCCTGTTGGAGGTATAAAGGCACCTATTACAGCCAAACCACCACCTCCAGCTCACACTCAGAAGGCCAGCACAGGTGCCAAGGTCCGTCCTAAAGCACCCGTTCCATCCAAGTCGTTCACCAAATCTTCTGGACCGAGTGTTGCCGTACGCGCACTTAGCATTCTGGCCTCAGAAGTTGGCCTGGCAGAGTCTGAAATTTCAGACGACCTGGTGTTTGCGGACTACGGTGTAGACTCACTCCTCTCCCTAACAGTCACTGGCAGGTATCGTGAAGAGTTGAACCTCGATCTGGAGTCTTCTGTGTTTACCGATCACCCAACCGTCAACGACTTCAAGCGACTCATCGCCCAAGTGAGTCCTTCAGAGAGCCATGATGGATCCTCAAGTGAACAAGAGTCGAACTTCTCTTTTAGCGGTGCCGAATCTTCAAGCGCAAGTACTCCTGACATCACGTCACCGCCAAATGAGAAGGTAGCTCATGTCGAGCAAAACGACACCATGAAGGAAATCCGTAACATCATCGCAGAGGAGATTGGTGTCCCTGCAGAAGAGATCGACCCTGATGAGAACTTGGGAGAGATGGGTATGGACTCGCTTCTCTCCCTGACAGTTCTTGGAAGAATCCGAGAGACTCTGGACATGGACCTCCCGGGAGAGTTCTTCATCGAAAACCAGACCCTCAATGATATAGAGGTGGCTTTGGACCTAAAACCCAAGACTACTGCTGCGCCAATTCCTATGCCAGAGCCAGTCAAATTCCCCGAAGTCATTCAAGACCTCCAGCCCAAGCTTACTCAACACCCTAAGGCCACATCCATCCTGTTACAAGGAAACCCTAGAACAGCAACAAAGACGTTGTTCTTGTTTCCTGACGGCTCCGGCTCAGCGACGTCTTACGCTACCATCCCCGGAGTTTCTCCTGACGTCTGTGTTTACGGATTGAATTGCCCATACATGAAGACACCCGAGAAGCTCAAATGTAGCCTAGACGAACTCACTGCTCCTTACGTAGCAGAGATTCGTCGTCGTCAACCTAAGGGTCCTTACAGCTTCGGCGGTTGGTCAGCAGGAGGAATCTGTGCATACGATGCAGCACGTCATCTAATGTTTGAGGAAGGTGAACAAGTCGACCGCTTGCTTCTTCTTGACACCCCATTCCCCATCGGCCTTGAGAAGCTACCGCAGAGATTGTACGGCTTCTTCAACTCTATCGGTCTTTTCGGCGAAGGTAAAACGGCACCACCATCCTGGCTCCTACCTCACTTTCTAGCCTTTATCGACGCCCTCGACGCATACAAGGCCGCGCCTCTTCCATTCACAGACGGGAAATGGGCCAAGAAGCTGCCTAAGACTTATATAATCTGGGCCAAAGACGGTGTTTGCGGTAAGCCGGGAGATCCCCGGCCTGATCCCCCGACAGACGGTTCGAAGGATCCCAAGGAGATGGTCTGGCTTCTTAATGACCGGACTGACCTGGGTCCTAACAAGTGGGATACATTGGTTGGACCTGAAAATATTGGTGGAATCACGGTAATGGAAAATGCTAATCATTTCACGATGACGAAGGGCGAAAAAGCGAAAGAGTTGTCTACTTTTATGGCTAATGCTATGGCTTAAAGATTGATGAAGCTCGTTGTTTTCTTTTCTATTATTTCTATAATTATATTGCACTTATTTTCTCTCTCATTCATATGGTTTGTTTATGTGGTTGATCTCATTTTTTCGATAGCTAGGGATTACTGCACTAACATTTAGTAAGTAATGTCTTGCAATAATTGTACGTAATTAATCAATTATACAATTGGAACAACGAGATATTGTTGCGTAGCATAATCAATACTAAAATAGCCTACATATTGACTAATCGCTGTTGTTGGCTTTGGAAAAGGAAGTCCTAGGGTAGTAGAACAACGGAAAATCTTGCAAACAAATTGAGGCAATGTAGTCATAAGGATGGCCTACATAAATAATGCATCCAATTCAAATTTTCAACGTAGACAACTAAAGGAGGGGCGCAAGGCCCACACAAAATGAGAAGAAAAAAAAAAGGGAGAAAGGGTGCAGGCATACAAAACGCCCAGACAATGCAAAGTCAGTGATGAAAGAAAAGCATCAAATGCACGCCCTTCTCCATGCAAACGTCATAGAACGCAAGAATGAAATCGGTGGAGTCGCTGTAACATGATAGAAATTCCACTTAAGTTGGTAGGGTTATGCAAAACAGGTAAGACCTTAACTGGGCATCTCGGAGCTGAACCTTAACGCGCTGCCACGTCCATTATGATTATTGATTCCTGGGCTCGTTGGACGGCTTCCAGCGGTCAGTCTCGGGCTGCGAGGTTGAGTGCTCGTCGAGCGGGTGGACGGCCGATTCTTGCGGATTTCCCGCAGCTCATCCTCTTTTCGGCGCAGCAGATCTTCGCGGGATGTAAGAATAGCTTCCAATTCGGAGATACGAGATAGATGCCGTGCCCCGTCGTTCTCTATATTGATTTCTCGTAGGCGACTAGCATTGCCAGCAACCTTACGCTTTAATAACTCGTTCTCTTCTCGAAGTTGGCGGATCTCGTTCCCAGTTTGAGCCGCAATGTTAGAAGCAGTTTGGTACTGCTCGCGAGTATACTCGGCTTGCTTGGCCTCGTATTCTGCCTTCCGTTCAAGGCCAGAATTCTCTTGTGTCAGGCGCCGAATATCTTCCCGAGCCGTCTCCAGTTCTGCTACAGCACCTCCCCCAGTTTTGACCTCCCCCCTTGCCTGCTCAAGATCTTGCCTTAGCTGGGTGCGCTCATCCTTTAGCTTGCTAATATCCTCTCTTTGTTTTTCAATTCTCTGCTCTGATGTGGCTTTATATTCGGCTAAGCGATCCCGCTCCCGACGGATCTTGTGGAGGTCTCTAGTTCGAGTTTCATAGCGATGCTGGAGCGACTCGAGTAGTTTCTCTCTCTCTTGTAAGCGGGATTGTATGTCGGTTAACGCATTCTGGAACTTCCCAAGCTCAGCTGCATGCGCAGTTCTCATCTGCACGAGATTCTTCTCCAATGCATGCAGACCGCTATCCAGGGTTTGACTTGGAAATTTCGTTGATTCGGTAAGTTGGGTGTTATCCTGTGACATTTCCAACCTTAGTCTTTTAGAAGCATGCTCGCTTGAGTCTTCCACAAATGGACGCTTTTGAGCTTGTGAGTTGGAGTCTGGTGTACTGTCAACAGTCGTTTGAGGTTGAGCTTCAAGTTGAACAGATAAAAGCTTCTCGGAGCTCACGACGTGTAAAGGTTCAATGGGGGTCAAAGGCCAGCTAATACTGAAGTGATCCGAAGAGAGCCAAGGCAATATCTCTTCCACATCTTCACGCACACCAAGGGCATCGTCTTGCAGATCACCTACTATATTACGGAGACGGACAGTGTATTGGACGATCAACTGGAGACGTTGGAGCTCTGGAGGATCCGGAAAACAGAGTTCAATGTGCTCACTGGAGTTTGAGACTATGAGTCGAATGATGGGAAGTAGGTTACCATGACGAGCAAATGTGGTTCGCATATGCTCAACCGATGGACTCTTCGCATTTAAAGATGAGTCCAGTGCAATGATTGCAGAGGGCGATTTGTATGTCTCAGTGATCCCTTCACTGTGTGTAGATTGGATCCCCAAACTCAAGGAACCTTTTAGCAGAGAAACCTCTAGATTAGTGCCAGACCCCATTTCCTCACGTGGTCGAGTGTATATGAGACCTTTACCAATCAGGTATTGCTCAACCACTTTTTGGGTTTTCTCTCCCTGTACCATAATCACCAAATGGATATCCCGGTTGCTTGCAATTTCCACAAGGTAGCCTAGGAATAAGAATTTTGCGCTGGAATATTCGGCCCAAGCTGCCTCCTTCCTTAGGTCTGAATCCGAATCTTTGATGTGCTCTGCGATATTAAGATCAGGATGCGTCGCAACGTTGCTTAGACGTCCTAATATCTCGCGCATTCTTGACACAAGGCGTTCTTCCTGTCCGTTGGACATCCCTGAAGCGCTGCACTCTCTAAGAAAATCCCGAATACCCTGGGTTTCATTTACCAAGACTCGTTCGTAGTCATCTTTGACTCTGGAGTCCATTGGAAGTGGAACGGCGAATTCAGACGGACCGAGATGTACTGATCCGGGAGGGACTTCTTCGGTATGAGTGACTGTCAAGGCACTTGGTTGAATAGTTTGTGTGCTTTGCTCTTGGTGTGGCATCTCTTCAAGTGGTTCTGATGAAGTGGCATTCATTTCTGGCTCAGTGTGATGAACAGTGGGTTCCTTGTCGACTCTAACACTAAGAGGTGCGGTTGTCTCGGGGACGGATACAGGCGCCACGGGTTCGATATCTTCTACAGATGACGGAGTCACACTGACATCAATAGTCTGGAGAGAATTCGCTTTGGCGCTCAATTGGGCGTACGCATTCTTCATCTTCTCCCTCGGGGTTGCTCCTTCATACTGACTATACTTCTCCATGGCTTCAGCCAATGATGGGACTTCCTTCTTTTGGTTATGACTCTCCATGCTTCCAGTAGACATCCTGGATACTTTATTGCTTTGCCGTGCAGATAATGGTCTCTGACTTAGGAGTTGAATGGAAGGGTTTATTGACACCTGTGATGTACTCGGGTTTGATTCTGGCACTGTAGACCTCAATCGATCAGCTCTAATGGGGCCTTTCGAGAGGCAATTCCCAGGTAGTAGTAGCTGGGATATCAAAGAACTAAGCCCGGACCGACAGCTTTCTGACAAGGGGATGTGCTGTGTACCAGGTCTCGACAAAGGATGCTGAAAGGATTTCTGGCTCTCTAAAGGGGCCAAATTAACAGATGGAGCCTCTGTAATTCCGTCCACTTCCCCACGAAGGCCACAGACTGGTGTGCCGGATAGCTCTTCGATGATGGGCGATGCGATTGACTTGGACTGTGAAGATCCTTGGGCAGCCTCGGGCGTCAATAGATTGCCAGATCTTAGTACTCCACCTTCACTAGCAATAATCGGAGTTCCTCTGGGGCTGTGTGTAGTCTGTGTTGCGAGGTAGCCTTGGACTTCACTAGGAAGTAAATACTCTAACGGGATAGCAGCACTCGGACTATACTCAAACACACACGCAGTCTCAGACGGTGCAGCTGCTGAGGCAATCGGTACAGTTAAGTAGTCACTGTGCCGGCGTGAAGGGGCTGTAATAGGCGTTACTTGTTTTGACTCTAAAACTTCAGACCATCGGTTGGCCTCCAAAGATGGGTGTGGCTCAGATACAGAGTCGAAAGGTATAAATAATGGTGAGCGCTCGCGTTGTTCCAAACGCTGTTCAGACGAGTCGATGGACTCTACACTATGGCCTTGAGAGAATTGAATAGCTGACTGTGTTTCTGAGATTTCAGTAAGATGACTACCAGCCTGGGACTGGCGGTGTCTCCTTTTCTCCTCCCAGACCTGAATTGCAGCGTCGTTGGCGTGTTCCTTTGGCTCCTGATTGTTGTATGCTTGTTAGATGACACCCCCTCCCAGGAAGCCTCCGATACCTATATGGGGTGGTGTATGTAGACTGTGCTCAACTTACCCAACTAGGCGACCAAGGCCCCTCCCAATCAATAAGATACTGAGATTCTGTTTCGTCAAGGATACAGTTGATATACCATTCGTCTTCGGCTAAGGAAGAACTTTCGTTGTCGTTTTCTTCGTCACTTGGTATGACGGGGTATGTATTTTTGTGTCTCTTTTTCCTATGTTTATCTGATGAATGTGTTGATATAGAAGAGGAGATCTTGCGCTTGCGCCACATTATGCGCGTCCCGAGAGCATCGCCGAAGTGAAGCAATCCATGGTGGGAGGTTGATGTAACAAGCGTGCAGTAAAAAGAGATCGAAGTGGGGACTATTTGGGAGAGTGAGCGTTTGTGGAAGTGAAACGTAACTGACACAAAGCGCAACAATGAAGAAACCGGAGAAGTGAATGGGAGTATGAAATTCGGTCTGAACTCGGACGACGGGGGATAGCTGCGCGGATGATCGCCGACACGTGATATCTTATCAGTGCCCAACTCCACTATGACGGATGCTCACCCATTCCTCGGTACGGAATACTTAATCTACGTATACTGTACATATCACCCCAAATGCGTTCGGTATGGCTCTTAAAATGGTAGACTGAAACACCCCTGGTATCCGACTTCTGTCTACTGATGCAATTCTAGTATCTAATGTATCTAATCGTATCTATACTTCAGAGATGTGCCTGCTCTTTTTTAAAATTTTCAAAATCGTAGCCTAGCTGCTCGATGCTTTTGAACTTGTGCCGCTCATCTCCCTTTCCAACAAACGTTCTTCTAATCTCAGGAAACAGCTGTCGCATCCATCTCTCCCTCTCCCCCCAGTAGTTGCCTTGTTTACCAATTCCGTTGTCGGCCAACCCTTGGCGTGGTTCGGCCCTGCCTGCCCATTTGTACAGCAGATTCATGTAGTCCGCGTCCAATGGAAAGTGTAAAAGGTGGAATGCTGTTCCATTCCCCTTTTTGATGACAGTGGCATCCTCCCAGGCCTTCATTTCGGCTGCATCTGGCAGAGTAAGTCGTCCAGACCAGACACGAGCAAAAACAGCAGCCTGGTTCTCGGATAAGGGAAAAGGGATTACCCTCTGGGGCAGAACAGGAAAAACGAGCGTGGGGTTGTGGATGTAAAACAAATGTTGGTAGGTGTTCAGCACCCTCCGGCCATCCGTAATAATAGGAGGGTCCAGTGACGACAGAAAGGGGAAAGAGTATAGGTAGCCAGTACAAAACACGATTGCATCAATGTCATTCTCAATTCTACCATTAGCGAAGCGAACCGCCCTATTGTATTCGGTTGGTGGTAAGAATTCCACAATTTCTGGGACGTAATCCTTGTCTGTGGCGTTGGACGGCATCAGGTAAGATTCTGTTCGCTGTGACGCGAGCACTTTGCCCTTGCTCAATCTGTTTATTTGGTTTCCAATATCGACTCCTGATGCAGAGCCTCCCACAATGATCACCTTCTTCCCGCGGAACGGTTCGGGCGAGTCATACAACTTGGCGTGGGAAATAATGCTCGGATAAGTCTCATTCCAGATTTTGATACCCTGAATATCAGGAGTGTACGGAACATCATAATGCCCACTAGCGACAACCACAGCATCATAAATCTCGGTACTGTCGACCCCAGTTCGCAAATTCTTTGTTGTTACAGCCCAAGCATCTGCCTCGGAACCATCAGACTTGATATTCACAACTTGGGTGTCAAGGTGAATATAATCTTGCACAGCTTCTGCGTACTCGTCTAGATACTTCTTCACTGTAGAGTACTTCGGTAACACTTGGGCATCTGGGGAAAAAGGCTTGTCCCCATAGGCCATTAATTCCTTTGGAATGTTGGTATCCAATGTACTATAAATGGGTGATATAAAAGCTGGCTCTAGCGGCCCTTGCGTGCCTCCTGTGGGATGCCATATCGGTTCATCGCCAGGTTGGTTCGGGTCAAGTTGCGGCACAGGCACCAATGTGCTCTGCTTGAGAGCTGGTGGAGTATAATTCCATACCCCGCCGACAGCACTTCTCTTCTCAAAAACATCAATCTTGGTAAAAAATTCCTCTGCAAGAAGATACCTGATGATTCGTGAGTGAGGTAATCTCAGGATGAGCGTGGCACTCAAGATTTGCTTCATACTTGACAGCAGCGAGGCCCGATGGCCCTGCACCGATAACAGCTACCCGTCGGATTTGCTTTGAGATTGTCATGCTGGACGTCAATTAACAGCAATTAATTTTAGTTTCAGGCTTCCAATTCCTCGAAGTATCTCAGTTGGTGACCAGACGATCGGTTACTGTTATGGAATCAAATCACCCCGCCGGGCAATGTCGTGATCTACTCTAGGCTAGTACTAATTCAATTACTATTTTAGGTTACTGTACAGCATGGGGGCTCTGGTAACATGTAAACTCTGAAATAAACCAGGGTCTGGAATTGAGTGAAATACGTTTCTCTCAATTAATCATAAACTTTAATGGAACAAAAATTCAAAAACTTTTTTAGTTGTCTAACCATGTTCATGCGGTCACAGAAATACAGAGATTCCCTTATTATGGCCACTGAGACCATGGACGCCCTACGTAATATTACAGCTCCGATACTGACCAACACTGTTCCGCAAGCTCCAGATCGTTTGTCAGGTGAAGTCACACCCTGCGTTGCTTCCTGCCGCCCTTTTTGAACACAAGCTATTGCTGAACAAAACAACAAAACAACCTCTATATCTTTACTGTGCACAAACATCTGTCATTTTACATAGCATTACTTGCAGAACAATGCAGTAGCAATCAGTGATGCTATATCAAAGGTGTAGTTTCATGAGCAGCTGCAGTGATGGATGCTAACGAGCAATTTCCGACCTCTGAACCCTTACGTGCGAATCGCATCCCTATCGCGCAGCTTTCTCCAACGCTCGAACACTTCTCCAAGAGCTCCATCCATGTATCCGTTACTCTTTTATGGCCTTATTCATCATCGACAAAATCCCTTAGCCTCTTATTAGCAGAGCCGGACTTTCGCCTGCGTCACTCAAATGGACAAGTAAAGGCAGTTTTCCACGGGTATATCGCAGAAAGTGTGGCTAAATCTCAGATCGGAATCGGAGATTCTGTTTATTTAAGTCTGGATGGAGCAAGGCTGTCAGATAATGTGACAGCACTTGGAACCCCAGGCAGAAGCGTGGCCTGGGATATACACTTCGATGATCGTGTGTTTCTCGAGGTACTACGACTGAGAAATCCCTAAGAAATGTGGTGATCTCACTGACTAGGCTTATAGATTTGGCGCTCAAGGAATCATTTGTCTACTGTGAAAGTCGACCCTCCTACTCCCTCAACGAACAACGATACTACAAATGCGCCACCGGCCACTCCCATTGCCAAGGGTTACGATCACTCTGACGGAAACTTTTCGATTGATAGGTTGGGTTCATGGCAGTCTCCGGCTTTTCTAGGGCGATCGCGCACATCCTTGGGGGGCCTGGCCGATTCAGTGTTGGGCCCATTCGCCGAGGAGGATGGGTTTGTTCCCGGAAAAGGAAGAAAACGCCCTAGGTTCAGCATGCGAAGCAGCGAGTGGCGTGTGATTGACGAACCCGAAAGCCCAGGTGAAAGAGGCGAAGTCCCGGACTGGACTCATATTTTCGATGAAGATTGGGAAAGTGAATCAGAGCCTGGACCCGAGGACACTGCCGAAAAAGAGGAGAAGCCACTGGATGCCACTAAATTCGAAAAGCCTGAACTAGACTCGGAGGAGGTATTTCTTACTGTTCCAGCTTCGGAGGCTGATGTTGCCATGGAAAATGTATCGCTGGCATCTTCTAGGACAAATCCGGAACGACATATCTCTCAGACCGCAGACGGGGTAAGGCTTCCTCCACCTGGTGTCTTTGGAATAGCCGAGTTCTCGCGAAAGCGGGATGTTCTAAATTGCTCGGCCCATCTTCCGATAGAAACTCCTCGTCTACACCCTATTCCCTCTCCCGGACTCCCCATTCCTTCGCCGCTCGTTACTATGTCAAACAGTCCACAGGGCTATTTCACACCAGTCGCAGCCACGGCGCATTTTCACACCAGCCAGATACCCACAGCATTATCTCAGGAGGTGACAGATTCAGATGATGAACTACCCGGTGCGCAGCCGGATACTTCGCAGACACCGGAATGTACAGAGGCAGCCATTACTCTAGGAACGGAAGATCGCGCAATTAGTGTATCCGAATTCAGATCGGAGCCAAATTCTACGAAAATTACCCCCAAAGCTACAAGTCAGCCACATACGATGGCCAATACTGGGTTAGAAGAGCTATCACCTGACGAAGACTCAAAAGGAGCCGCTGAACCTGCCCAAGTCGACCAATTTACCCCGCACATACCTGATGAGGACATGAGGAGACTCCATGGACATGTGGGAGACACTGATAAATTGGAAAGTCCAAAGAGAGAAGGAAAAGAATTTGAGGGCGACGAAACGTGCATTGACGCTCAAGTGAAGGCTGAATCCGAAAAAGACAAAGAAGAAGCGCATCAGGGAGAGGAAGTGGTTAAGGAGGACAATCTGGAAGATGATCGTCATAAACCAACACGTACCTGTAGAAGTTTAGCTCTTGGGGACACTCTGGCAAGTGGCGTAGCCAAGGTCGATGAATATGGTACTGATGGAAGCGGAGAAGAGGATACAGAGACATTGGAGAGATCGAGACACTACCATGACTGGGCTACCCAAAGTGAAACCGAAATCCCAGAACCAGAACGTGGGCATCGAACGGAAGCTGCTCATGAAGAAGAGGACGAATGGGACGAGGAAGGAAGTAAGGGTGAACCTGAAGAGGAGCTAGAGGAGGACGAAAAATTGGAGGACGAACAAGCTCAAGAGATTAAAGAAACAGATAGGGAAGGAGAAGCAGACAACAAGGAAATGGAAAGGGACGACTTGAAAGCTGAATGGGATGATGAAGAGTTAGAAGAGGAGGAGGAGGAGGAAGAAGAAGAAGAAGAAGAAGAAGAAGAAGAAGAAGAAGAAGAAGAAGAAGAAGAAGAAGAAGAAGAAGAAGAAGAAGAAGAAGAAGAAGAAGAAGAAGCCGAGGATATGTACGAAGATGACTTCGATGATGGTGCTGATTCAGAGATCGTATCGGACCAAATGAGTGTTGATACACCCATCCAGCCGCCTGCCACGAAGAAAGTGCACCCGGAAGTCATTGTACTAGACAGTGACAGCGAAGATGAAGCCACATCTGCTTCCCAGGCTTACCCCATGACCACGTCAAGAGATGAAGCCAGTACACAGGAGATCGAGTCATCCGAACCTGAATCATCTGCTTCCGAAAAGGATTCCCTAAGATCAAGGTGTTCGGACAACTTTGAAAGCTCAGAGGATGAAGAGGGCTCAGATTGGTCTGATGGGAACTCAGAAGATGAGCAGCTGATAGATAAGAGTGAAGAAGAGATGGTGGAGGATGAATGTGGACGAGTGAATGGTGAACAACAAAGAGCTGAGCATGTTGTAGACGAACTATCTGACAGTGGAAGGACGAGGGACAAGAAGGTCGATGAGGACTTTGTTGATATACATGAGGAATACAAAGCGGAAAACGAAGCAATAGAAGGACAACCCGAGGCCAAAAGGGGGCAGGTGTCAGTATCACAGCCCATGGATATTAGGGATGCGGGCCCCAATACTGATAAGCAACCAACGCCTCAGCATACGATAAAGTTCCCGTCTCATGATTCTGAGCAGGAAAATCTTGATTATCGCGCATGTATCATGTCATCCGCTCAAGAACCTCATTCCGACTCTAGAACTACCTTACACGAATTGGAGACAGTGATCGACCCGGAGTTGCAAAACATTGACCTTGCTAAAGAACAAGCAAACAAAGAGGTGGAAAACGAGCCTCGTCCAGATTCTATTTATGCTGAGCCTAGGACTGGGCTTCTCACGCAGATACCTGAGGCCGTCCAGAATATTGATCAAGGTTTGTTCCTTGACGGTAGTTCGTCTTCACAGGCATCACACGATTCCCGTGAGGCTGTTTCAGAAAGTCCTTCGCAATTGCAGCATTTGGTATCGATGGATACTCAACTGGTAGAAGTTGGTCAACCCTCTATGGATTTCACTTCTACATCTGAAGACGTCCAAGGAAGAACGACGGTGCGATTCCAAGACGAAATGCCACTCGCCATTCAAATTGAGACAACTACGCCAGCGGAACATGTCAATATTGCTAAAGAGGTTGAGCATGAAGCACGTCTTGTCCCTACCCCGCAGGAGGGACAGCATGAACCCGAAGAATTTTCTGCGGATGGGGACGTGGGAGCTCCAGCGTCTTACAATGAAGACCAAACCCAAGAAGATGAGCTTTATTCGGATGATGAATCTGTTGGGGATTTAGATGAAGTCCACCTCATTGGAGTAGACCGCCATTATCCCGGCCTGCACAGCAAACCTTCCTATTTTGCTCCGTTGGCCACACTTGTCGATCACTATAATGCATTGGTAGATACCATATCCGTTGTGTTGGAAGTCCAACCCCTCTTCCAGACGGCATCAGGGAAGAAGGACTTTACACTAACCCTTCAGCTCACTGATCAATCTATGGCTGGAACCACGCTCTACGCCCAAATTTCCCGGCCTTCCAAAGTAGAACTTCCTTCGGTGGAAGAGGGGAACGCTGTCTTGTTACGCAACTTTAGAGTCAAGAGTTCCAACCGCTCGATAATGCTCGCCAGCGTTGATAGCAGTGCCTGGGTTGTTTTCAAGGGCTTCGATGAGAAAGCACTGACTCATGATCCTCCAGTTGAATACGGGAGCGAAGAGCAAGCCTGCGCCACTAATCTGCGCCAATGGTACCAAGAAACTGGTATGGCCATGGTGGCAGATAACCAACTACAAGCCTCTATAAACAGGGAAAGTAGAGAAGGGACACCCACTAGCAGCGCTGCACTTAGCGATTCAGGGAGCGTCGACTCGACACTGCGCGACGTGCGCGGTGAATCGTCTTTCTCGAGTCGGGGTTCACGGCGGGGCAAAAGGTCCCATCGGAGAATAACAATTCACGAGTTGAGGGATGGAAGGAGATACACCGAGGTCGGCTCACCGTCTGGAAAAGAGAGTATACACGAACTGCGAGACGGAACCGTTTATGCCAATTTATGAAGAAAACTGGTGTATCGGATTGGATCTTTCACGCTCGACGGGTTTGTTGACTCTTTATTTTTGATTTTTGTATATAAGCCTTCATGGCAAGTTGTCCAGTCTAGGTCTTGGACTGGAAAATGAACGGCACAATTTTTGTCCAAGGTCTTTTCATGGCACAAGATGGTACTCGCCCAATCATCACATTCGAAGCAAGTCACTCTATGCTGTAGTCTATGATATCAAAACATGGGTACAGAGACGGCAAAGGCAAACAGACAGGATGCAGAATTTCAAAGAACTCGGCGCCTACATTTTAGAACACTTGTCTCCTGCCAAGAGATCCATGTTGACAGCAGCTCTGATCAATTGATTCGCGATAGCAGTTGGCGGCGGAAGCCTCAACCCCCCCTCTTTGTACTCCGGACCAGCCTTATCACCCAACGCACTTACCCCTATTCTTAAAGCCTCCTCGACTTCCTCGACGTCAAACCATTTCGCATCTTCCAGCTCAGGATCGTGGCTTAGGTTGATCGTTTCATGAGCAGGATCGCTAACCTGTGCGATTGCTCCAATCATGAGATTTGCTGGATAGGGCCAAGGTTGGGATGAGTGAATAATGACACGGGATAGAGTAACGCCCGCCTCTTCCCACACCTCCCTCCGGACAGCGTCTTCAACCGACTCTGCTGGCTCGATGAAACCGGCGAGAGTTGAATACCAGTTAGGCGGATAGCGTTTTGAGCGACCAAGCAGGACCCGCCTGGCATCGGTTGAAAGAACCGCCACAATGATTGTTGGATCGGTACGTGGAAAGGACAGATTGGAAAGGGTAGTGCGCGTGTTGCAGGCTGGTCGTTCGGCTGATTTTCCCTCCGCGACACGGGCAACGTCTGTAGGTGGACAGGCACGCTTGGTACCAGAATTTACAGAGAGCGTAGGATGACCGCAGGTGCCACAGAAGCTATTGCGGTTGTTCCAGTCCATGAGAGCGCGAGACTGGGCGTAAATGGCAGCTGGGATGCAGTGAGTAAACGAAGTCTGCTCTCTAGATCTCAGCAAAGCTTACCTTCGTCAGCTGAAAAGGTCATGACCACTCTCGACTGGAAGAAACTCAATCCTTTTTCTTCCATAGCACTAATCACAGCTTTGGAATTGGTCTGTTGCTCTTCATCTCCCTTAGGGGTTACGTCGAGAGCAAAGAAAGGAGCACCGGTATAGATCTTCCAAGCGAGCCCATCTTGCTTACGGCTCTCGTCCAGTCCAAGGAAGATTAGCTGCGCGGTGGTTTTCCGAGAGTCATATTCCTTGATCGTCTCCTCTTCTGTCTTATCATAGATCGTCTCAGGAACAAGCTTTTCGACTTCATTATAGTGAGCATAGTACAATTCAGAAGGAGACTTTGTAAGGGGTGCAAGATCCTTCAGAAGTACGAAGCGAGTGGAAGGATGCCTGATAGCTGCCGAAAGAAAAGCATGCTCGGTTCGTAGGAACGAGAGCCGGTTTAGAGGCGAGCCTAGTAATATTAGTATCGAGACAGGCTGTTCAATCAGAGGCGGGGAGGCCTACTGGAGAAGTAGTTTACGGTTTCTCTCCCAAACTGTCGAGACAGCATTGACTCAGCTTGCGTATGGGCAGGAGTGGGGATCTGGGGGTGACTGGTCATAATGAATCTTATGTATGAGCTAGGTCAGTAAGCGAATTGGCGTGAAAAATCTATACCTGTAATTCTATAGGGTGTAAAAAAGAGGAGGGGGAAGCAGAGTTGAAATCGCAAGCGCAAATGTAGACGCCCTGATAACGAGTGATTAATCAGCTGCCTCTTATAACTTATCCGAGGATCAACATGGCGGGAAGTGACGTATTCCCGATACCATCGCTGTGTGCATTCCAGAGATCTTTATTATGGATGTTCCTGTAATACCAAAACCACAGCGGGGTACGAGGGGAAGCTCCCCACACACGTGACGTGCGTCATTGTCGGCCATCTCCAACTTGATTCTTATCGCCGGGAAAGCTCGAATGACATGTTTCTTGTGTGCGTTTTGAACAATCTGCTGACAAGATCCCGGTTCTGGATCTAGTGATTGGAAATTGGTCACTAATTGAGATAATCCCCGTTCATCCAACATGGGCCACCTTGTCACTCTTGCAACATGGTAGGTACTACTACATTCGAGCAATTCATTGCGCCATCTAATTGCAAGGTTGGGCTGATTTGTCTTCCCCCATTAGCTCCCTTAATCAATGGGCCCTTGATTTTGAAGGCAACTGCGAACGAATTATTGAGAGTATCCGCCAGGCTAAGAAAGCCGGAGCTACTTTGCGCGTCGGTCCTGAACTTGAAATCACCGGTAATATGAGCATTTGCCATGACTACAAAGCTCGTTGCGTTGATATTTCTGTTTAGGATATGGTGTTCTTGATGGATTTCTTGAGGGCGATACGTTCCTCCATTCGTGGGAGATGTTGGCTCGCATCATTGACCACGTTGACTGTCAGGACATTGTAGTGGACGTAGGTATGCCTGTTCGGCATAGGAATGTGCGATACAATTGCCGGTGGGTGGTTTTCAAGTTAGTAAACAGAGCCGTGCTAATATTTTAAAAGCGTCATCTTTTACAACCGCAAGATCATTCTTATTCGCCCGAAGATGTGGCTCGCCAACGGTTTGTCTATGTCTTCCTCATCTCAACAACTCGTCGTATTCTTGTGCATATCTCAAGCTATTCTTCGCTAACGTTTGTGGCTCAATCAGATGGAAACTATAGGGAGATGCGGTATTTTACTCCTTGGCAGCGCCCCCAAGAGATTGAAGATTATTATCTTGAATCAATCGTTGGCAAAATAACAGGCCAGTATAAAGTTCCTTTCGGAGATGCGGTCATCAGCACAAGAGATACTTGTCTAGGTTTAGAGACCTGTGAAGAGCTATTCACTCCTAACGGGTACGCACTCTGACCACGTACTTGTGGATATCATGCTAACTTATGTGTAGGCCTCATATTCCTTACGGTCTTGCCGGTATGACCATCATTGCACCATGAAGCTCTTTTCTAGTAGAGACCGCTGACCTCTCTGATAGGTGTGGAAATCATCTCCAATTCGTCAGGAAGCCACCATGAGTTAAGGAAGCTTGACACCCGTATCAACTTGGTTACACAAGCTACGAAATTGGTGAACTTGCCCGCAAAAATAGTATCAACCCCGCAGGCTGACGGCTTTTTAGAGTGGAGGCATTTATCTTTATGCGAACCAGCAAGGCTGCGATGGTGACAGGCTGTATTACGATGGCTGTGCAATGATCGTCGTCAATGGCAATATCGTGGCCCAGGGGTCTCAATTCTCTTTGAATGATGTCGAGGTTGTTACAGCTACAGTCGATATAGAAGAGGTCTGGCTCCCAAAATCCTGGCTCCTATAGCGAAAACCTAATTTCGGATAGGTTCGGACGTATCGTTCAAGTGCTAGTCGTGGTATGCAAGCCAGCAAACAAACACCCTTTGTTCGTCTTGACCTCGATATGAGACTTTCTCGTCAAAATGAAGAGGCTGATCCCGGTCTTGCCCCATCTGAGACCATTGCGCCCCGTTACCACGCTCCTGAAGAAGAAGTTGCACTCGGTCCAGCTTGTTGGCTTTGGGATTACCTTCGAAGGAGTGGTGCCGCTGGATTCTTCCTTCCGCTGAGTGGTGGTATTGACAGCTGTGCTACTGCCATTATTGTACACTCCATGTGCAGGGAAGTCATCAAGGCAGTGTCAGAAGGAAATGAGCAGGTGATCAAAGATGTCCGCAGGCTGTGCGCTGAACCTGCGGATACCACCTGGCTTCCTACTACGAGTCAAGAAGTGTGCAAGTAAGACTGATCTTTCCAACCTTCTATCCTCTGTCCAAGGGTTCTAATACTCTCTTAGTCGCATCTTTCACACCAGCTATATGGGCACCCAAAATTCCAGCAAGGAGACAAGGGACCGGTCAAAGAGGCTCGCAACCGACATTGGATCCTATCATATCGACTTTAACTTTGATACAGTTGTAACTTCCTTGACGAATTTATTCACCATGGTTACCAACTTCCAGCCTAAGTTCAAGGTCCATGGTGGTAGCCGGGCAGAAAACCAAGCGCTACAGAACGTTCAAGCCCGCTTAAGAATGGTGCTTTCGTACCTGTTTGCATCTTTGCTTCCTACAGTCCGGCAGCGGCCAGGTGGAGGTGGACTGCTTGTTCTGGCATCATCAAATGTAGATGGTAATTAATTTCTCCTAACATACTGGAATTCGCTAACTGTCAGCAGAGTGGTATATACAGCTTGACTCCTTTGGCCCCGTGTACTCATGTTTAGATCTTGTCCAATACTGACTGAAATGTACAGTTTACGTGGCTATTTAACCAAATATGATGCCAGTAGTGCCGATGTATGCCTCAGCCCCTTCTCCTTTCTGGCGGTCTTCTTCATATGGTGGAATTTGATGCTAACAGTAAGATTTTTAAAACTAGTTAAACCCAATTGGCTCTATCAGCAAAGTCGACCTGAAGAAATTCATCGCCTGGTCTCGGGATTCGTTTGAATTGCCTATTCTTCACGAATTTCTGAACGCCACTCCAACTGCCGAGCTGGAACCGATAACATCCACGTACGTCCAGTCAGACGAGGCGGACATGGGTGTAACTTACGCTGAGTTGTCCACTTTCGGCTACCTGCGTAAGATCGCAAAACTAGGGCCTTGGTCCATGTACGAAAGATTGCTCCATGTGTGGGGTAATGAGTACAGCCCGCGCGAGATATACGAGAAAACACGCCATTTCTTCTACAATTATGCCATTAACCGCCATAAGATGACCGTTCTTACCCCTAGTTATCATGCGGAACAGTACTCTCCTGATGATAACAGGCATGACCTCCGACAGTTCTTGTGTAAGTAGCCTTCTGCAGTTGAGTTGTTAATTTCTAAAACCTGCTAATGCGCCACCAGACCCCTCGTTTACATGGGCATACAAGAAGATGGAAGACAGCGTCAAGTACTGGGAATCAAAGGGGTGGACTGCTGGCAAAGCACAGAAGAAAAACGTCAAGGCAGACTAGATGGATTTAGCTCAGCTACCAGTTATATAAACGCGGTCATATGTGTTGAAGGAATATACTAAAGAGATACATGCCATGGAACATCAGTTGAAATGTGTAAAATCTGGAAGATTTGCACCTTGAAGAGACGACTTAGCATAGCCAGGTAACCAATACACGGCATAAGAGTTGGATATATGAATGTGACTAGCATAATGTTTGCCAATGAGTCAATCTGAAAAAGGTTATGTGGTAAATTGGAATAGGAACAGTTTACAAGACGCCAATTCAGAAAACGCAGCGCTAAGCAGACAAGACATAGGAAAGGAATGAAAGGCGGGTAGGTAAAGTAGAGTAGTGTGAAAGAAAATATGATGAGAAAAGTAACGATGGGAAGCTGAGATCTCTCGACCTATTTTCCCTTCCAGAACCAGCCGCTTGGTTTTTCATCAGTTGGAGCTCCCTCTGGACTAGCTGGACTAGTAGATTCCCTACTAGCCTGCAGAGGATTGATCACTTCGACAAATTCATTGCTCTCTTCCCGGCCATCTGCGAACCGCTGAGTCTTTACGGTCTTTGACTGAATCGATCCATCAGGAAGTCGGATACGCTCTGTTGAACTTCTTGTGGATATGACGTAGCGACTTTTCTCGGCCACCGACTTGGTCTCCGCAGGAGAGATATTGGTGGCCAATTGAGAGTCTGTCTCTGAAACAGTCTTCTGGTTTTCGCCAGACACCTGGTCTAGGCTGCTTTCCGTGTCTTCAGCCTGGTTTTCTTTCCGTAGCGATGCTCTGTTATCTGGGACTCTGTATTTATCTTCAAAGAGAAGACGCAGGAGAGGGCTTTCCTGTGCATCCTTGAAGAACTCCCGCTCACGGGCTTCAATGTCCGCAAGGAAACGGTCGTACATATCTAGCTCTGTTAATGACTCAGGCTCAGCGTCACCCCAACTAATTTCCGCCTTTGCGCTATTACTCGAGGCTTTCCCCTCGGCCAGACTGCGGCCATCTTCTGTGTTCTTCGAATTATCGAACGTGATAGCCGACCACGGTCGGCCTTCTGTTCCAGAGATGTACTTGAAACGATCCCCAAGACTACCGCGTTTGACCAGCCCCTGTAGCCAGTCCTTCCCCGATTCCCTCTTGCTGATGTCTGCAGGGTCCCTGTCGAGCATAGGCTTGCCATTCTCAAGTCGCAAAAGATCCTCAAAAGCCTCCCGCCACTGGGGCTCTGCGGGATCGTGTTCAGCAGAAAGATTCAGAGTAGACATGAGAGACGAGAATACTCCACGTTCACGACTGGACCGATATTGTGCCTGACGCTCCAAATGCAGAGGGGAGTAAGGGCTGAACATGAGGTAGGTAACAGGCCAGGCCAGAGATTCATCGTTTACCATGCTTGAGAACAGGGGCCTATCGTATGGATGGAAGAAACGGGAAGAAACGCGGTCATCGAACCAGAACCTATCGAAGAAGGAATCGAAAAAGAAGTCGATATCGAAAGGATCGTGAGGCGGACTCTGTCTTCTGGTACGATGGGACTGCCAAGGATCATCTGATCCTGGCCAGCACGACCGCGACGGTGAATGATCAGTTGATCCAGATGATGCGCCAGTTTCTGACCCCGCATAAAGGTCCCCTTCGTTGCCGTCACCGCTTTGTCTTTGGCGAGTATGCGCATCTTTGTAGTATCTGTCGTCTGCGAAAATAGACCAATGATCGGGTGGCGGGGCAGTGACCATCGACGGCAGCCCCGTTACTGACTGTAACATCGAGGAAATCTGTTCGTCGGCAAAGCGACGGAAAGCAACGAACGGGTTGTCGTCATCGGGCCATAGTTGAGAGCTATGCGCAGAAGAATCTCTATCGCGGTTTAAATTGTCGTCGCCTGCCATGGCTGGTTGCTCTCCAGCAGAAGGGTCTCAGAAGGGGATAGATCAATACTAGAACAAGAGACAGGTCAAATTGATCAAGTGGATTTCGATCAGGATAAAATTTCAGAAAGAAAAGAAAAAAAGAGGATGGGGGATGTATGATACTAAAATAAGCGTTAGCGTGGTGATCGATGAAGCTGTTGGGGATTTATCGCCCCACCTGCTCACTTAATAAATCCACAATCACCACGTGAGTAAATGTAAATGTCTGCAAACATGGCAAATGCATTTCTCGACTACCATCACAGACATAACAAACAATCTCGGATTCACATTCGCTCATCGAAATACACATTAATCGCCTGACTGGGCTACACTACATGACACATACAGACGTACAAGCGCAACATACAGTCAAGAACGGTCAAGGACGGTCAAAGCCGGGAACGGTCTTCAAATTCCTCCCACGCTGCATCAAACCCGGTTGAACGGACCCACACGGAATGTTTGTCGGAAGTTGAATCCATCACTATATCCGTCATCAGCTACGGTTGCAAGGCACGGGTTTCAGCTTCAACTTACCCATATTCCCGATCTTTAGCCACATATCGCCAGTTATCGTCAATCCCAACTCTTTGGCTTTGGCCTCGTAAGGACGGCAGACTCTCTCTCCGTTCGCTACGGCTCTGGCCAATTTACTGATGTGTCCATCATCTCTTGGATGTGCATTGGCATATGCGAAAATTTCCTCCCATTTCCTCGAAGCCTGATACTGAGTAACATCATTGAGGTATAGCTCGGGTGTATTGCGAGATACATATAGCAGCAGGTTCAATCGTCCTTTCCATTCGAGGAGACGTAGCTTGGAGCGCGCATCTAGCCACGGAAGTGAGATGAACTTGGTGAGAAATATCGACGCATTCATGCCATGTATATAGAAGAAGTCAAATTTAACCTGCTTGGATGGTCTTTGAGCAGCAGCTGTGAAGTAGGCTGCGAAATGTCGTTGCAATTAGTACCCGCTAATGCAGACGCTGGCTCAGTAGGTACTTACCAACCGTGTCGACTATTTCGACAAGCTTTTCCTCCATTTGATCCTCGGAGATGGTGAATTCTGCAGCATATTTGATCATTTCATCAGGCGCCCGTACCAGGACGCCGTCCCTCATCCTATTCTCATCCTCCCAATGCGCGGAACTAGCCAATTTTTCATTGTTGCGTATTTCCTCCAGGATTTGCAGCAATGTTTTCTTTCCAGGTTTGCCAATGCCCCCCGCTGCTTTTTCGGCGGGTAAGAGGAACATTGGGCCAGTCCAGTCCTCATGAGTAGCAGCTTGGGCAAGGGCCTCTGCTACGATGGCGGGCTGATTGAACTCAATCCCGAACCCCAAGTGGATGAGTGGATGAATGAGACCTAAAGCATTCCAACAACAATAAGTCCTATACGTACGGAATATTGCCAACTGGACTGAGACATGCATGCACTCACCTCCAAACAATCTTACAAGCATATCTTCCGCGATATCATCCCCGGCAAAAATGTATTGTTTAACCACGTCTTCAACCCCTTTTGTTTCAATCTCACGTTGGAAAAATTCCAAGAGATTGGGGTAGTTATCTCGTTTGCCAAGGCATTCTTTGAACCGAGCCTGGTCATATAAGGACTGAACCACACTGTCATTGGCCGGTAAAGCAGGCCTCTGGTAACTCGTATTTCTCTCATACGCGGCCCTAATCTCGTGTGGAGAAGCCCCAAGGGCAAATATGGTTAGAATATGGTGGACGATATGGTCTGTTACATTAGCATGGGAATTTTTTCCTCTAGCGATAAATACGAGGTATCAAATCGAGAAACATACTATGGAATCCGGAATCGTTGAAATAAATGTGGTGCTTCTCTAGATTCTCCTGCAAGACTTCGCTAGCAGCTCGAGCAGCGTCCTCGCTAATCCCGGTAGAGTAGACACCGGAGTCGGATGTGGACAGCTCAATTTTCCGTGCTGTGGCCATTGGGCTTCGTAGAGCGTCGATACGGTATGTGGCTTCGGAAGAGGCAAGGCAAATCCCTGCTGCCCGATAGTTAGAATCAACCGCGACTGTGCTGAAAGGTGACGAGAACACGATCCGCCGAAAATGTTGAACAACCGGAAGATCGTAACTAAATTGTTGAGAAGTCAAACACTGAGGACGAATGCCTTGAAGCCTCCTCGGCAATAGCGACGATCGTTGTGTAGTACCAGCGGGTTGGCGACAACAGTCTGCCAATGCAATGCGGATGGTTTTCCAATTCATAAAAGCGGGGCGGAGTAATGACCAGGAAAGCCTGGTCTATCGCAGGCTTATTTATCTTTGGTGTGACGGCCATACTAGCGTATAGATCAATATGCGGGGGCAGCAGTCGTGAGTACAAATCAAGTCGGGCTTCGGGGCTTTGCGACGCCCGAACGACGTCATATGGAATCCAGAGCCAATCATACAAGCAAGGTTTACCAATTTCTCGTGTTTTAGTAGTTGTATTGAACAAAAAGGACCTGCAGGCTAAGGGATTTACTAGTAATTCTGACGAGAGTTAAGTTGTCTGGATCGCTTCTCGATTTGGCTGCTTACACATTTTATTTATCCATTCAAGTTATCATTGTGGACTAGCTGATCCAACAGCTTCACTACGCACCTCGCCATAACTCCTCGGGCTTTGGTAAGTTATCATTAGAGAACTCGATATAGGTACCCGTATGCATCTTTCAAAGCCAAAAGGTCTTCAGTATCCCAATAGTTCCAAATGGGCCTGTACAAAATGGTTTCGTGGACGTGAATCGCTCCTCGAACGCTCCACTTATTTATTGAACAAGACAACTAGACATAATAGGAGCTATCATGACGTTAAGATAGGTGCTTTCCTTTGATTTTATCTTCATAGTTTACGCCTATTCTAGTATTCTACCGTGAACTCTCCGGCTAAATCATGGGATGAGCAAATCCCTACTACCACGTGAGCCAGTCGAGGGCATATTTCTCCTCTGCTGATTCCTCTGTACCTCAAGGATCTCCTCACTCTCAGGCTCAATGGCCTGATGTGTCTTCCAGTAACGACCAGCTCGGTGGCCGATCAACTTCAACCCAGAGATGCCCCCGAAGCTGACGAGCTTCGAATATAAATGAACCCCTTTGACTATCTGCCCTCTTCTTTCTCTCTCCCATCGATGAATGCCATTCATCAATCTACTACTTCGAGTACTATCGTCTAAATTAACCAATAGCAATTCTAACTTTATTAATAATGAAGCTTCTCTCTCTAGCAATTCTTCAATTTCCCGCCCTACACCTTGCAGCCCCGAGGGCCCCAATAAGTGCCTATCAATCAAGAATGAGCCTTCCGGATGGCAACCCTTGTATGTAGACATGCTCTGGGAGCAACTGATTCCTGACTAATTAAGACAAGTCCATCCTACATGTATTGGTCTCGATAGTTACTGCTGCACCTGGGAGGGGTGTCAGCGGTGCTGTACCTTCTTGTATTGCCATCTAGACAGAAACCCGGCCGAAGGGCGCTGTGTTTCTTTCTAAGTACTCTGTAGACACACTTAGGTTAGTTCTTTTTGCAGCCTCTCTTTCCCTTTAGCTCCCCAATGCAAACGTTGTCATCTAATGAGCTTCAGCTGATTCTCAGGTCAACTTAGCTTCCTCGTCGCTGTTCTCAGAATTCCGGGATATCAGTTCGGGTTTAGCTTGGAACTTGTGTTCTCAAAGGGGATATGCCATTGTAACTAGGATAATCCCAGGCCATACATTTTTGCCTCGTTGAGGCCTATGAAGCAAAAGCACATCCTACAGTAGTCAAATGCTCTAAACAAGCTCTCTTACGTGTAAAACTGCCCTGTCACCCATCTTAAACTGTCGACTCAAGAATATGTGTTGCACTACTCGATCATTGAGCCCAGGATGATGATGGTATGGTATGGATATAGAGTCTTAAGTAGTAACCCTAAAGCAAGCCCTCATTCATTGGATGGTAGAAATCTGTCGTAATCTAATTCTGAAGTTATCTACACCCCAACTATCGAAGAAGGCAAATACACCGAAAAAGAGAAGATTCTCTAAGAAGAAAGTCACTTTCTTCGTACGTGTGAAGCCGTCAAAATGACTCGAGCAAGCCAAGGAGTCTTCCACAACATGATAGCTCCATAATAGCTTCTTCTTAGCTAGTGGGTACTTTGCCTCAGAGAACCATGATGAACAAGTAATACGATTCTTCAGTCACAGAGCTCATCCTTCAGAGAAAAAGGTGCGGAAAACAATGTCGATCACGGTGTCCATCGCCGTGTCCGCAAGAGCAGTTCACTGCCCCATTCCAAGACAAACGAAGCCTGGAGTCTCCAGCTCGATAACCATAGTTGAGTCAATTATGGACGATCCCACATCAATTAGGGTAAAGAGCCTGTAGCACTAGACTAGGGGTAAAAGGCTTGGATTTGCCCCGAGATAGAATGTGAGACCCTTGATCCATTTTAACAGCCAAATATGAAGACCACGGCCCAGCTACGCAATTCCACCGAAGTTTTACCCCTAAAACATCCGATAGGAAGGGCATACCGGTCCTCAAACCGGTGTATGTCTTGAAGAACCTCGGGAGATCCCGGCTGAATCTTCAAAAATGGACCGTGAGGAACTATTGCGGCCGAGTGTATCAGGTAGATGATAAAGATGGTGGCGGAGCAAGTGTCTTGTCGGCAGGCTGGCTTTCGTCAGTGGGTTTTCTTTTCCAGGGCATTGGCAACGCCGTCTAAAACGTCGGAGGGTTCATTTATCGACGATCTGTGGGTCTAAGGTCGCGGTTTATAGGTTTTCCATCGACAAGCTCGCTTTGACATGCTTCTTAATATCTCTACTATTTGCTCTGAGAATAAGGATAACGCATGTAGTATGACAAGGTCATTCTCCCTGGGAAAGACTAACATGCGAATGTTAGCACGCAGGGAATTACTATGATCTACTATAGTGTTTACTTTTTATACACCTAAGTAACAGCGGGCCCTTGTGGCATTGATTAATACAATAATTTCAATAATATATAGTATATTAAGATAGAACATATAAGGGCTCAAGGTCTACCGCCTGAAAAGTTGGCCAACAAGCTATCCAGTCAGTCTCTCTTTAAACTCCTACACTCACAACTTGAACCAAATCCACTCATTCAACCTCAATATACTGCGACAATGCGTTTCTTCACCTTCGTAATCACCGCCTTCGCAACCAGCGCCCTCGCTGCCCCGGCCGCCATCAACCCCGACTGGATGGGGGGTATTCTCAACATCTTCAACAGACCCCACGGCAAAGTCAGCGCTGAAGCGAGTGCTAGCCCCAGTGCCAGCGCTGCCAGTTCCAGTGTCGCTTTGACTCCTACTCCGAGTCCCACCGTTGGCACCATTGTCCCGCTGTAATATTGTCGGTATACTACTTACCTTGAAGTACCTTCTAGCCAGGATGAACTAACGGCTTTTAAACCAGGCTGCGTGCAGGGGAATCATCGCTATTGTAGGCTATCGTGCGGGGAATATACGATATGGATGAAAAGAAAGGAAAGAATAGAGGACGCAGCCGTCGTGACGTCTCGATAGCCTCTGAAATAGCTTTTCTGTTCCATTGAATAGAGTCCTTAGCTTGTATATACACGGTCATAAGTGCTGCGGGCGGTTAAAATTAGCCTTGTTGAGCCTGTCACTTGGTAATGGGATATTGTTCAGTTTTAACTATCTAGCTTAGTTCAACTTGTAAGAATATACATACATGGATATGGGATGTATTTTGTCAGATTATTATAAGTTTATCATGTGTACTTTGTGATTTGATGCAAACTGCTTTTCCAAACAGATATATGACCAGTGCAACCCTATTACCAGGAGAAAAAGTGCCAATCTGATGAACGAAACTGGTTTCCATCTGAAATTGTATTGGCATCCCAATCAATGCATGCCAAACTCCTCCATTTCCTTCTTCCTCTTCTGACGCTCCCGCTCTATCTTGCGGAACAGTGGGTGGTGTCCCACTTTGTCCTTCAGTTGCTTGTTCCTGCTCTTGTTGTACTCGATATATGCCATGTCCTCTCCACCTGCCAAACCGCTAAGAGTGGCGGCACTGCGTTTGACGGCTCCCTTCTTAGCCCTTGGACCACCAGAGCGTTCAGAGAACAAGTCATCAGTTACGGCTTCAACATCCGCAGACGTTTCATTTTGCAGCATAACCTCCTGTAAAAGCTCGCGCCGTTCACCGGGGGTTGCATAAGCGAGACCCTCCAGATTTTCAATGCCTTGGAGATGTGTGATAACTTTGAACGCGTAGCCTTGGTCGACAAGGAAAGCTTGTCGTTTGGAAGAATAGAACATCTCGTCCGTGTCCTTTGAGACAAGAGAGTAGAAGAATGCATTGAAGCCCTCATCATTACGACGCTTAGCTCGCAAAATTCGGCCCAGCCGTTGAGCTTCTTGACGACGAGAACCGTAATGTGATGAGATCTGAATTAGACAGGTTGCCTCAGGTAAATCCAAGGATGTGTCCCCAATCTTCGACAGAAAGATGGTGTTGACTTGCTCGTTGTGCTGAAAGTTCTCCAAAATCCGCATACGCTCATTTTGGGGAGTGCCACCATAAATGTAGGCCTTGTTCAACTTAAGGGCATAACGCTCGAGAGCATAGACATTATCAGAGAACACGATAACCTTGTCTCCACGCTTTTCATGGTAGTCGATGAGGAATTGACAAGCCTGGAACTTTCGGGGGTTCATAATGTAGAGTAAGGCTGCCTTCCTTGACTTCTCTCTCATGTACTCGGAATAAAACTCCGTAGTCATAGGACACCACACCTCAGCGCATTGGACTTTGGCAATGTGTCCTTGCTCTGCAAGTTCCATCCAGTTAGCTTCGTATAACTTTGGGCCAATCAAAAAGTTCAAATCCTTAATCTTGTCATCTTCACGCAAGAGGGTCGCAGTCAAACCGAGCTTGCTTTGGGTCGCGATAGCCGATGTAACTTTACGGAACATAGATGCAGGCACCACGTGCACCTCGTCAAGAATCATTAGACCCCATTCACGCGACTGGATCCAGTCCATCATTTTCTGCGCATCATGCGACCGGGCTCTTGTTTGGGAAACCATTGAATATGTCGAAACAATGATACCGGTCGATCTGCGGAACTTTTCCTTGTTGTCAGAGGTGAAAACGGCAATATCGCCTGGGTCGATATTCGACCACCGTAGGAACTCATTTCTCCATTGAACTACAGACATGGAGCTGGTACAAAGAATGATTGTACCCTTCTTGATAGTGCAAGCAGCCGTGATACCAACTAGAGTCTTTCCGGCACCACAAGGAAGGACAATGATACCGCTCTTAGCACGTCCATTACCGAACATCTTACTTAAACTCTTCTCCTGATAACTTCGGATTCGCGCCTGCGGTTTCAGGTCGATATCCAACGTGGGATTGATCTCATCGTTGCGGAAGTCATACTCCTCTAATGCCGGGCAGCCCATTGCCTGGCAGCGAGCCTTGACAGGTTCAACTGCTTCATTCGGAATTTCAAAGCTGTGAACCTGAGCTTGCTCTTCATCGTCATCTTCATCGCGAATGGCCAAAAGTAAATCATCCTCCTGGCGCTTCTCTCCTTGGTTTTCCTCTGCCGGCTGCTGCTGATCCGTGCTCTGCTTCACGCCTGCTGCATCCTTGGTACCAGGGATAACAAGTCCTCCCATCTTGGGAGCGGCCTGCTGAATGATATCGGCTGACCCGCCCTGGACCCTCTGAGCCCCAATGACTTCATCCTGCAGAAGCATTTGCAACATGGATGGGTCGGTACTTTCCACGAAGAAGCGATTATGTTTCAACACGACCTTGATCTTTCCGTATGACTTCGTAAAATCGATGATGAAGGATTTAATAGTATCCGGGAGGGGGGTCTTCGACAACCGGTCAAGGAAGTTGATGATATCCTGAGGCTGAAGACCAACCGAGACAGCCGCATACAAACTGTTTCCCGTCAACCTGTATTCGTGCAGATGGGTCGGACGTGACAGCGGTTCGGCGATGGTGGTCAGGAAATCCTGCGCCTGGGGAGCCAAGGGCGAGAAGCTCTCCAACGTGATGGTTCCTTTCAAGGGGTCGATCCATAGCGGACGGTTTGCGTGGTCTGGTTTCAGAGGGAGCGACGAAAAGTCCTTGTAGCCGAAATTTGGATCCTGCTTCTGTACGGCGGAGCTCTTCTTGTTACTGAACGATTCGAGGGAGAACTTGTCGACGACCTCTTGAAGAAAGTCAGCACCTGTGGTTACTTTTCAAGAGGTCCACTTTTTATACCTTTCAGGCTATCTTCCTTTGGGTCATATTCGGAAAACTCATCGCTACTATCGACATCCTGGATGTCAGGAACAGGAGTTGCGCGCTTCGAAGCTCTACTTGACCGACCGCCTAACGAAGGTCAGCCCTGTCATCTACCTGATCCCAGGGTGGGAACCATACTGTCGGTTGCCTTGCGCTTAACAGGCATATTGTTGTATTGTGTTATAATCCCCTGAAACCGATGTCTATTGTCTATTGTGCTGATGTTATGCCAAAACGAGTGTGCATACTTCGAGGCTACCAGCGCCTCAGCAGAGTTCCAAGCAAATCTAAAGGTTCCTCTTTTAGAATACGAGCAGTACCGTCCAGCTAGTGTAAAGTTGAGAGAAGCCGGAAGCGATAAGGGGGTTGAAGGGGATGTAGGGAAGGAGAAAGGTGAAGGGGATGAAAATCAGATGTAATCTGGTAGATCGATGACTTTACTCCGACGTTGTTAACGCCTGAGGCCAAAATATGTGGCGAAGGCAGAAGTGGTGGCTGGTTGGCCGGTGGCACAGCAACGGGCTTAAGAGCCAAGCGGCCTTCCGACCTTCGGCCGAGTGTTAAGTCTGTTGACGTAGTTTCCACTCCAGCTTCATTTTTCCTTCAATTGAGAATTGTTTTTGCTCAATCTCGATATCCGCACATTAAAAAAAAGATGAACACGGTAGGTGTATGAGGACTGCAAACACACTAGACATAAAAACTAGCTGACAGTGTTTGGGGAAATCTATAGATCCGATCAACCTGGTGAGCGGGAGACCACCTGCAACGCTTCACTATTTCCGGGCGACATGGAACGTAGATTACTGACTTGCTGTCGGCACACGTGAACAGGGTAGGCTGGGGTACTCTCTGCGTCGGTAAGGGGACTCTCAAGCGCCCCATGTCTCACGACAGGCAATTGCACTCAAGTGCTCCACGACTGACTTCGATAACCAGCTGGCGGCGGAGCCTATTATTTCGCTAAGAAATCGATCAATGCGGACCGAGCTGCTCGATATGAAGCAGAGACCAAGCGCAAAGCGAAACTCGCGCAGATGGAAGCCGAGCACCGACGCCAGTCGACTCTCAGCGAGAAAGTCCCGACCCCGTCCGAATCCCCTAGCTTGAAACGGGCCAACATGGCACAGTTCCAGAGTGCAGCGGACGATGTAGCCTCGCCAAGCGTGGAGGCCAGCCACGATCCCGCTCCAACTCGTCACGAACCCGAATCCGAAGCAGACCGGGTGCTGGAGAAAGGGAAATACGAAGCTGCTCAACCGTTCCGACCTCCTCGAGGTAATCGATTCAGCTGAGCGCGTTCACTCTCATACGTGAGTGCATGCGGAGGAATTTAAAATTTCCTTGAACAATAGAGATGGCAAGACGTCACATATGCATGTCGTGAGTGTGCTATGGCTTTGTATCATATCGTGCTATTATAGCTTGGCGAGCTAGGCGACTTCTTAAATCTCGCGAAGTTTGCGGGGTTTCGTGGTATATATCTTACGGGTTGTGTTAGGGAATCAAAACGCTGTTTTCATTTGAGTATTCATCCAGTGAATTAGACTCGACAAAATAGCATCTTGTGTAAGGTACATAAAACTGCCATGATTCATTTCTGCACTGCAGCAACACCATCATCCCACTGCCCTACCAGAGGGAAGCATGGGTTATTCGTTTGCGATCGAGTTCGCATGATCGCTGTGGTGAGAATGCATGTATACATCGTTTCTCTGGTCGAGAGAAGTATGCAGGTCCCCGATGCTTCAAGTTGCAATCATACCGACTCGCCAAGAAAAAAAAATTAGAAATAGGTAATACTTAAAAAAAAAAAAAAAAGACACAACGCCAGCAAACTCCGTCCAACAATATGCACTTCACAGTTCAAATACCATATTGTGGTATGCGTAATAAATATCAACGCCCGTACGCCCACAATTTGCAAGTCCACCCGGGGTGGTGATATCAAAACAAAGGGAAGAAGGACATAGCATCAAAGATTGGCGGAAATACGGCAAATGTCCCGATGCATGTCAGGTGCCGATGACAGATTCCTCCTTCGGGGATGGTAACCGAGACGACACATTAACGGGCATGAAAACAGAGCGGCGGGTGTGGCCTAGGGAGACAAGGGTCAGCCAATCAGCAACCGAATTCTTGTGTATCCGAGTATGGGCAAGTCGAGAACATACTGACTGCAATTGGGACCGTCTGTATTTTTAGCGCGAGAGCTTTCAAGGGCTGGAGGGACAAATGGCAGCACCACCGCCGAGAAGAGACACGAGCTGGTGACGAATCGAGAGGTGCGACTGTCTGGCTGTGGACGACGAACAGAGAAATGGCGGATAGTTGGGCGAACGAACCGAACGGCGATAGCCATCTTATAGTGCAGTGTACTAGTATACTGTAGCGAAGTTGTAAAGGTCTAGATCTAATAGCAAACGCCGATATGCTCGATGGTAGTGAGAAAAACAAACAGTCTTAGTAGTGGTCACGAGTATTTTGAATCCAACTTTAATTAGGATTGAGAAAGGACAAGGGAGGGGGTCCTTCTACTAGTACTTATATAGGAGGGTGAGTGATATAACGATGGAAGTACCAACGACCTGTAAGTGAGTAGTTTACCTATAGAGTTGAGCACCTGAGCCGAGTGGGCCGATTTGTTGCGACCCAGTGGGGAAGTTTTGACTGCGGGGTCTTCTGACTCCGTACTCAAGAAATGATGCCATGGGTAGAAAAAGAAACAGAACGCGGCAACGGTACGAACGTTACCATACCACCCTATCTTTCCTCATGGCCTCGGGGGTCGGAAGAGCAACCCGAGAGTCAATTTACAATAAGTACAGTGTATCAGTGAAAGTAGTTCAAATCCCAATTTATTATTATTGAACATACATGTTCCTGTACCTATACTCCGGAGTAAGTACTAGTAGTACTAGGTTGATTAACTACATACCCCACACCAATTAAAATCAAGCAGCCGGAGCATTTCTTCCTCAAGATTTCAACTAGTGGGCGGAACAAACTACCACCACTACGTAAACTAACGGTGAGTGAATTCCGTGATGTGCAGACTCACGCCATTGAGGGGCAAAAATGGTCGCGACTTCCGGCCGAAGACGAGACGATCCAACTGCGGGGCCGATGGAGTCCAGGAACACGGGCGGTGATCGCGGTAGTTGCGTTTCCGTATCATCATTCGATACCTGCAGCGCCTAATTGGGTTAAAACAATGGTGAACAGTTGAACCTGACATCGGGTCGGTTCGTCATTAAGTGCTCTGATGGCGGCAATTGCCCATCCGAAGGCCGCAGGTATACGGACGCCGAAGTCCTTTTGTCTGCCTGATGACCCTCTCAAAAAATGAGTCAACCCTAAAACCAAACCAAATCTCAAAATTGTCTCAACCCAAGCTCCAATGCCAAGATAAGCTTAGTATCTCATGCCCAACCGTACCCCTATTCTGAGAAGCTAGGCAAAGCCCTTGTTCTGGCGTGTTGTACAACATCGGGTGACTCGTCAATCAGCTGGTTAATTGTTCAGATCATTCAACTAACTAGTAACTCCCTGCAGCTTCGGAAGGGTCCTCAGCAGGACGTACACAGTACTACGTAGCAGTTTCCCTTCGCCCCACCATGCTGGAAAGCCCTAGATTTAACCCTCGAACTTACCAACGATAACCGATAACAAACCGCTGGACGCAAGGGCTAAGTGTGGGTCTATTCCAAATGTTGATCATCAGCCTTAAGGCATTTCACTCTCCACGTGCGGCAATCAACAAGGGCAAGGAGCAAAACTTCATAGTTCAGAAGTTGTTTCTCTAGGTACCTATTAGGTTGCAACCTAGTATAATGCTTGGAATATTCTTTCATACGTATAGATGTGTTTGATCACCGACTTACTATCTAACCAGAAACAAAAACTGCAAATACTTTACGTAATAGACCCCGAAGAATCTAGGAGATATGTAGGGCATAGTATTGCTCCACCCACGTAGAGTAGATCCAGCTTATCATGAAAAGTAGGGCTCCGCTTTGTCCACTATCCTGATTGACTCCTTCCGCAGAACTCATGCTGCTGGGTGCTTATCGTGGAGTATATGATTCCTTCCGTGAAGCTATATCTATATATAATATGTAGAACTAGTATGGAACAAATACGCGAATATTCAGCGAACAGACCATTAGAGTCAAACTTGAACATACTAAATGAACGCTGTAGGCTAGAAAAGTTGCAGAGTAGATCCAGGGTTGAAGAAAGCAGATACTATTAAATTGCTTGCTACGAATGAATGTCTATGATCTTGGGAGCTGTTGTACATATAAAATACTATTAGTATGGCTCAGATGCGTTCAGACCACTACGGAATTAAGCCCGGACCCTCACTTTCCCGAACAGGGAAGGTTAAGGGCCTGACAGCCTGAGACGATCAACGACAGCTGATGTTATCACTAGTACCACTGCGCAATAGACATCGTGGCATGAAAGGAGGTTCTTTTTGGTCTTAGTGGTCATTCCAATTCCGAAAAGATGGGATATGTACACGAAAAGAAAATAAGATTCAAGTGAGAGTTGAGATATAAGAAGGCGTGAAGAGAAAAAAAGAATCTGGCCTCACGGATTGAGTTGGCACGATGCGAAGCTAGGGTCTAATGTCTTCTACCGTGATGATGATGATGATGATGATGATGGTGTCTCCTGTGATATCCCCGATGAACCTGGGAAGAAGAAGCAGTGGGTAAGGAATCAGTGTCGGACTGATTACTCGCCATCCCACTTGAATCTCGTTTGGCAGGTAGGCTGCTATTTGCAACAACTGGACCGAAGCCAACACACGCATCTGGTATGGCCTCCTTGAGATCCTACTAGTTGTTAGCATTCTTACCAATACATCGTGCATGCGTACTTACAGCAATTGTGAGTTTTGCCAATGGATTCCCCTTGTCACTGGCCCTCGTTATCTCCGCGTTAAGGCTAACTCCAGCCGAGGGAGCCACACTGACACCAAAGACATGATGTTTTTCATCATTCACGCAGGCTCCAGCGGTTGCTATATCCATCAGTCAAAGTAAAGAGAATCAAGCATGAAGACGACTCACACTCAGAAAGAGATAATGTAGCCCCGAGGACAGGCTTCAAGTTAACGCCTGCTTCAAATCCATGACCTATCCAGGTCAGAATTGATCTTGGTGAATGACATCGGTGATACATACCAAGAGCCACAGCGGCTAATTGAATTGCAGCTTTGGCATAAATATTGACACCGGCTTCGATTTGAGCATCTACCTTCACCGGTTCAGTACGTACCTGGGGGGTCCACCCTGAGTGCACTACATGAGGTGAGAGAAGGTCAATCTTGAGCTCCGCAGAGTCCAGAAGGCTGATGTCTATCCCCGAGGAAATAGACGCAGAACCAGAGACTGGACCCACGCTAAAACCAAGGCTAAAGACAATTTCCGGGCCCAGATCTAAGACACCAGGTATCGAATACCCGTATATTGGTATCTTCGCAAGGTCGAACTGCTGAGAGTATTCTTCGGTGAAGTCTCCACTTAACGTCAACTTGGGCCCTATCCTTGTAGACACGCCGTGGGGTGTAAGCGTGAATGTTGCGGCCTTGGGTATATGTTTCTCGTTCCTAAGGTAGAAACCGAGTTCGAAGCTTCCTTTTGTGCCACACTGATCGCACGACAGTGTTAAAGAGAAAGCGTCTTCGGGAGTAGAAAAGTCCTTCTGAGGAAGTTTCCACGGGTGATCAAAACTCATGGTCAAGGTTTTCTCGTGCTCTTTTCTTTTCATGTGCTGCGGCGCGACACATGTATCGTACACTTCTTCTTTAGCCACTCTGCCCACTGAAAGCTCAAAGGAATGGAATACATCCTTCCATTCTGATCGTCGAGCTTGCAACTTTGCAGTCTTGGTGTGGTCGTCAAACTCAATCTTCGAAACGGCAAAAGGCACTCTATGTGTATTCCATCCACACTGACCTGTGCCGGCGACCACAATAAGGGTGTTTCGTTCAATCTCATTGACCCATTTCCATGCACGCTTGGTGTATTCAAACGACTTCTGGTTCTTGAAATTGACGGCCAAACTAGCATTGCTGCAATGGACTGACTTCAGCAAAGGCTTGAATCTTTCCATAGACACAACGCTTGTATCATCATCGGTTTCAACAACAAATTCGGCGAAAGCGGGCTGTCCGTTTTGGGAAGCTGTTGTTGGAAGTTAGAAGTTGAGAGACCTCTTGAGTGATTTTGGTCTTGGGCGCTGAACAAGTACACGTACCAATCCAATAGAAAGAATCCTTCCTTTGAGGCTCCAGATGGGAATGGTGCGACTCATTGCGATATCGTGCACCTCTCACTTGGAGCTGTTTTCCAGCTATTTCAGGTGGTCCGGCATCGCGGAATACCAGGGGGGCGCTTTGCTGAAGCGAAAGGGTGATCAAAAGGCTGAAAGACAGCCAAAAACGAAGAAATTTGGCCATCTTGCTGGCCTAAAATTAGCGTCGCCGTGGCGGTTAATGTGACAATGCTCAAGCTGACTGGAAGAGCATCAGTATAGCTGGGACCAGCTGTACAGATGAATGTTTGCGTGCTGAACATAATGTCCGAGTGGCATTCGCAGCTATAAGAGGAGCTAAGCGTCGTCTAGTTTCCCAGAACAGAGGTTCTCCCCTGTCATGCAGCTCTACTCTCAAATCCCCTATCCGAGGTTCACAGGGTGTAATGAGTAGTTCGGTGGTTCTCTCCGATAGCGTGGTGGACTTGCCCTTGGCATGTTTTTGATTCAGGACAACGGACGCTTCGGCCGATCCTACTACTACGTAACGGAGTACGTCGTTCAGAGACTAAGTGGCAACGCTAAAGTAGCCAAAATAGCAGTGTTCCTACCGATCCCTGTGCGTCCTTGTCTTTTCCGAGAGAAGTCTCCGATGAGATCGACCTCATTTCGAGCTCTCTACTCAGTAGTACCTAACTCGTAGCTTTCACTGCGTTGCCAGTGCAGCCAGCAATATATGGGAATGGGTTCCTGTTTGAGCAACCAAATCGATCGACGGTTTGGTAAGAATACCATCACCTCCTCAAGTCGTTTCCGAGGATTTTTTATAATTAAACCAGGACGGACAGGAGTATGCCAAGAGGTATGCATTCGAGACATGCGTTGTAGGATTCGCGATTTAACCGAAAGGGTAAGCCCAATGGCAGCAGAGTGGTTAACGTGCCAAGCTTTCCCGTTATTAGTGAGACGTTACTAGTTCCATAGGGCCATTAGACTGTGCGACTAGTATCTCCTGTCCCATAAATTATCTTGATTCTTTTAGCTGAAGACTTTTGCACAGCCATTTTCACCGGCCCATGATCCGCCCAGTTCGGATTAGAGCTGAAGCCAGTCGTTGGAGCCCCAAAGGGAGGTAGGAGATACTATAGGGCTATGGATACTTGATCTTCACGTTTCAACCTAGGGTTATCTTCAGTCAGTTCAACATCGCTATACGTAAGAAATACTAGCACTGGATTTCAACGGGAGTAAATTGGAGACCTGAGTAGGCTGATGTCACCCAGCATGGTCATGTAGATATAACAGTTAGAGACTCCAGTACTCTCCCCTGTCCAGCTCGAGTGACACGGTGCCAATAATGGTTCACTATTACCACACTTAACGTAGCCTTGCGAGTTTCACAGAAACTAATCCCATATTATGGGACCCGCTATGAACCAAAACACAACTGATAGTCTCCTATTCACATTCTCTTTTTGGTAGTTCTTGGGTAGTCTCCTCTTCATGTTCTCTTTCTGGTATTTCTTGCTTAACCGCCAAATATAAACCCCCACTTGTGGAGGAAACCACATGGCGAAGCTGAAGATTGCAAGGAGTATCCACTTTCAAGACCATGTAGAGCAAATACTATATCTGAAGGAGTTGTGATTGGCCAATCCTCACTTCGATCGTTTACCCTACCGTTATCCTATAATCGCAGGCGCCATGAAGACTGAGCCCCTGCGATCCAGTACATTTCGCAGATGCGTATAATTGGACCTACTATAGGCCGCCGAGCATCTGGCTTTCCCATTGGGGACATACTGAAATCTGCTCTTTAACGCGCAGGATAAAGCAGAGGCCTCCTACGCTAAACCGTGTCAAGCGAATTGTTGTAGACTGGCGCGAGAGATGAACGCAATGCAACAATGTAAAATCTGCACTGCCGCTTACTCAATGGTGATCCCTCTCAAGGAGTACGCTTCACATAAGGCTTTGTGGAGATTAAAAAACACATCCCGAGAAGAAGTAGGTGCAGGAACTATCTATGTAGCTCTGGCTTTGTGGGGCTGCTGCTTGTGTTGTATACCTCCGTACTCAGGTGTTCTTTTCCACGTGTAGGGAGGTGAAAGGAGAAGAAAATAGATGATGCCAACGAGGAGAACCACCATTATTTGACCTGCGTTGCATGATGTCATGCATGAAATTCTGTACAAGCCTACGAGTAGTACTGAACCCCCTTAGTGGGCTTTGGGACTGACATTGATGGCACTAGATATCTTTCGTGCAGCCGTAGAACAGCCTTGTAAGATGGATTGACTTCAGGGCGCGAGTTCTGTAGAGCAATGCAACCTGGTACAATTACGATTCTTGTTCCATCATGCATAAATGTGTTCGAGATGGAAAGGGAATACTAATAGTACGGAAATTTAATAGAACTGATCACGTGCGATAAGCGGAACCCGAACCGGCTTTCAACTCCGTAGCCAAATCGACATCAAGAACCCAACAACACCCTCAAAAGAGATACTGCTGCTTGCAATGGCCTCTCATCAACTTGCCATTGCGAAGGCCTCATTCTCTGCGGGGCTTTTACGCCCAGACCCCACGTCCGTCCCGCGCGATGAGATCACAACGTTCCATAACTCATTCGACAGGGCGCTATCGCATTGCTCCTCAGCAAACATCCAGGTTTGATTGCGAGTCCTTAGCACCGATATACACTGCAATACTAAATTTGTGACTCGGCGCGGCCGCTAGACCTGCAAAGAATGGCTTCTCGAGTACGTTGTCTCATCGTCAAATCGGGTGAATGTTTGGGCCAAGTACCTGGTTGCGCTGTCCGCTTCGTTCAGCGAAGACGGGCAGCAACCGCAAGCCAAGCCACAGGAAACCCGGCCCGTTTCTGCGAAGAGGAAAAGGTTACACATACTCTACCTGCTGAATGACCTTTTCCATCATACCAAGTATCATCTGGATTCGACTGCCGCCTTTTCCACCTTGACTGGTTCATTGCAGCCGTACATTGTGGAGTTACTGGGCTACGCTGCTTCCTACGACCGAGAGAAGCACCCCAAACACCATGGACGACTAGATACACTGTTGGATATATGGGAGCAGCATGGCTACTACGGCAGCGACTATGTCAACAAGTTGCGGGAGGTGGTCAAGAACTCGGCGTTGTCTGGCCCTGTCAAGACATCTATTGATGTCGAAGAGAGTAACACGGACTCCGCCCACCGGCTTCCGAGCAAAGATGTGCCATTCGTCATGCCATCTACCCATGGAGACCCGTCTACTCCTTACTACGACCTTCCTGCAGGCAACCTTGTCCCTCACATCATCCCTAATTCGACTATTCCTCTTCGTCCAGATTCGATCAAACCACTACAATTCCTAGCCGGACCAGCGGATGAAAAGTTGGTAATTGCTTTGAAAGCGTTCCTGAAAGACGTTGATCAAATATACGGAATCGATAAACCAGAGCCCAAGGAAGATGAGGTAGTCGATATAGACGAGCTGGGCCAGACAGTCATACGCGACAAGAATACAGGCGACATTCTCAGCGGTGACACATACTACGGGTGGTCTCGAGGTTTTTGTCAGCAAATGAAGAAGAGGAATGCGAAACCCAGCTCTCGAAGTCGCAGCCCAAGCCCTCGCAAGAGAAGGCGCTACAGTGATAGCTATAGCGACGACAGCAGGCGGAGCAGATCGAGGTCGCGGAGTCGTACTCCACCTCGCAGATTTGGCCGGTATGACTCTCGTTCACGTTCTGCATCTCGGTCACGAAGTGGTTCCCGGCGCTCGCATTCACGGGAGAAATCCTATTCTCCTCGCCCACCATCCCCACCGCGGTCCATGCCTACGCAACACCACAACCAGTTCAACAATGCTGTGCCCCCAGGCTTTCCTCCACAACCGCCACCGATGCATTTTCCGCAAGGCCCACCACCTGCATTCCCCCAAGGGATGCCAGGAGCACCTCCACCTCCACCCAATTATCAAGGTCCATGGCCACCACCGCCCCCATCTTTGCCAAACTACGGCCCTTCGAACTTTCCGCCCCCGTTTCAACCACAAGGTGGACAGTTTCCTCAACAGTTCCCCCCGGTACATGTACCACAGGGGCAGCAAATGCCACCCGGATCCTATCACTTCCCTCCGCCTCACTCGGGGAGAGGCTGGAACCAGCAGGGCTACCCACCTGGTCGTGGATGGAGGTGATTTTGAATGTACAATAAGCTAGCACAGTGATAGTCTATGAGAAGAAGAATCTAAGCAGCAACGTACGAACAACACGAACCCATCCAATAATACCAGATATACTAGAATGGACACCCATCTCACATAAACCAAGTAAACCAAGTCCTGAACGTCGGTAAATGCCTCCACATATTTAAGTAACTTAGTAACACCCCATCCCCAAGATTGAACACAAAGATTATCCCCTAATTACCCGTAGGCACAGCATGCACCCCGCTTGAAGCCAACCCAGGAAACGACGAAGACGCCGCAGCAGAAGACGACGCCGCCGCTAGCATCGAACTGGTCATAGCCGCCCAACTCATCGCTATCTCGAGAGGCCGCTGCTTATTCTTCTCCAGGGCTTCCTGTTTATCTTTCATTGCTTTATCGTAGGGTTCACAGGCTTTGACTAGGTCACTTCCCTGTTCATTTCTGTCAGCATTTGCTCTAAGACCATTTTAAAAACAACAACAGGAAAGAAGGGGGGAAGGAGAAAAAGAAAGAAGAGAGAGAGAGAGAAACAAAAAGATTCCATACCTTGTCCCCCGGCTGTCCCTTACAACACATAACATCCTTTGTACAGTTTTCGTTTGGATCTTTATCGGACATTGCTTTACCTATCGTTGCGTCATATCAGCAGCTGCGCGGCAAGATATAGGGGGAAGCTAAAGGGAGGTCACATAAAGAGAAAAAACGAAGAACATACATTCAAGCCCCATGATACTTTTCACTGCTACCCCATCTAAGTATGGGACAACCTGGCCCAATGGCTTGGTGACGCCCTCTGCGATGGAGTCGATGCTCTGACAGCATTGCTTGGACCGGTGGCTGTCTGGGCAGGTGCTGTTGTCTGTTTTTGGTGAGGCAGAGGCAGAGGCAGTGAACATAGAGCTCAGCGCTGAGTGTGCGGATTGTTTAGTTGGGGTTGAGGCAGGGGTCTGCTGCTGGGAGAAAGGAATTGCCGTTGAGAGAGTTATTGTGGTCAAAAGGAGCAGTATCGTTTTGGGGTTCATTGCGATCGAGTGGGTGTTAGTCGTTGCCCTTAGCTTTGTGGTTATATCAAGGGTTGAAGAGGATTGAGAGACGCGGGATTTGAGTGCTTAGTTCGTCAAAAAATAATTTATACGTAAAGGTAATAAAGTATGGTAAAACACCGAGGGCAGGGGGAAGCTCAGGTGATTATGAAGCTCATCCCTATGATCATGTGCAACAGGGTAAAATTAGCGGTCAGAGTATGGCATACATTTTGAGGCGAGGAACAAGGGATATAGTAAGCGCGACACGTTGACAACCGCGTGTCTGGTTGTCTATAGGCCACTTGAACAGTCCAAGGTCTGCCTGGAATGCAATGGTGGATCCAATTAAAACTGAAAAGGAATGTCAATATAGCGGTTAGGATATTTCTACTTGGGTGATAACTTGCGTCGTAAAGCATTTCAGATGAAGATGCAATGACCTGTTCGAACTGTTTGACGCTGGCGTGCTGTTGGCATTAGACATCAAGCAATTCGCGTCGCGATCAACATACGAATTCAAACGGGGCAGTATTATGCAAGGGGTGATGACTCGTATATAATTTCCCAGGCAAGTTAAAAACGTGCACGAGTTTCTAGCTTGTACCTGCATAAAGTGAATCTCAATCAACCATTCCGATGTGCAGAAAGAAGAGTTCGTAGTGGAGGGACTGCTTAAGACTGTCCTGCCGGTGCTGCAGTTGATAGTAAATGGGCCAGAGTATGTTGAACGGAAAACCTGCCGTCATTAGATTCTCAAATCAAGTAGTGTACAGCAACTTTTGAAAACATAATGTACAGGACATGAAATTCGCTGAAACTGCTGGATAAAGAAGGTTCTGTTGATGCAAAAAGGAAAGATGGAAATATGTTGATTCCTAGCTGTCCGTAGCCTGACACAATGAACAGCCATAACCAAGAAGACAAGTTAAACTGGCAGAGTTCTAGGCCACAAAACAATGGCCAGTACTGCAAAGCGAACGACGGTGAAGTTAAAAACCAAAATAAAGACGGGTCGCCAGTGGGCATTTGTGCCAGTGCATTAGGGCGAGCAGCACTAGACGGGAACTTGTTCATGCCGACTGTGGAATCAATTGATGCCGTTGCAAATATCTATCAGTTGATGAGGGCAAGCTCCAGAAGGAGCACAAATATCAAAATTGGGCCGAACGTAAAGGAAGGACAGACACCAAATTCGGCTCGAGCACGCCATAGCTCTGTATATATCGCTCGGAGCAGAAATGCTTTCGCTACAATCAAACGCCAGGAGACACCGAAGTGTCTCCCCAAATCGCCAAAATCTTGTATATCATATCGTCAACTCGTCAGCAAGGCACGCAGTGCCTTTTTGTCAAGGTAACGAGACACCAGTGTCACGTTTAACCGCCCCCTCCTGCACCTCAGGGAGTAATCCATTTAGAAAGATGGATTTTTCTCGCCATCTCTGGTAGCTTTGCGCCCACCTCTCTCGCCGAAGTCATGGTGGGAGACACCTGCAGAAGTGGGGGCAGGGCCTCGACGAAGCATGTCACCCGCCGAGTCGCCGCTCTCGCCGCTACCTGCGCTGCTTCTACTGCTGCGACTAACGGGGGAACCTTTGTCGGCGTCCAAATCGGCGAAGGACGCCATCCGGTTGTGTGTGTATTCCAGCATAACGCGGCTATAATCCTCAACAGACGTATGAGGGTTGACCGTGCGGTTCATCTGAAGATGACTGTCGCCAGGAGGGCTTGTCCCTCCTCCATCGGGAACCATAGGCTGCACGGTTTCGGGCTGCTGCATGGAAGTCGTCATGGTTGCTAGCTCAGAAGGAATAGTTAGTCCACGACATCATAATGTGGGATAGCAGCAAGCATCCACGGAGGGAACATGGTCGTCTCGGAGACGGTACCAACGACATCGCAGACTCGGGTCGGAAGAGGCGTCCGTTACGGCTGACTTTTATGCGAGATAAGAGCTCAAACGGCAGTCTCCCACTTACCTTCACCACGAGGATGATAGTAAAAGACGGTAGCCTGGAAGTCGGATGGAGAAAAGTGCGTGTGTGAATAGTGTCGATGCAAAGGTGCCACAAAGAAGGATTGAAGATCCGATATAGAAGACCAACCCTTTGGAACCGTTCAACCGGCGCAAATTAATAGGGATGAGTATGAACAGCAAGTGCGACATGAGATCACAAGCGAACAAGCAAAAGATCAGAGTCGAAGCCACATTGGTCAGTCAGGCGTATGGCACTGATCCACAACGGCGACATGGGCACTTCTCCATTTTACTTCCACTTGCGCCATGATGTCATTGGTCCGAGAGGAGCTTTTCCAAAGACCTTCTTCTCCTTTTAGTACTCTGAGAGCCTTGTACTGTGTAAAAACTGCCCCCGCTTTCACGACCCTTCGATGATTCGATTAATTTTTATTTCACCTGACACATAACTTCAGAAATCGATCGGAATTAACCGTACTCCACAAACTCATGGGTCGGTGCAGCTCCAGATGGTCAACCCGTCCACCATCCTCCTTAAAGCAAAATGAAGTCACTGAACAATGTCACTGGCTCAGGAAAGCCCAATGGCCGCTGTCGATCCAACTCAGTACTACTAAAAAGTCCCCTGCAGATCTATGCTGACAGTGACGGGCAACCCGGTCGGTCTCCGTGGGGTTCTCATACCTGGCCCAGAACAGTAGCGTAAGGAGGTAGGTAGATGTGTACCTATGTGCGCCGTATGAAAAATGACCGCGCGAAACGACAAGAAACAGCTCCCCTGGAAGGATGACTTTGCACTGCGAACATGCCATTGACAGGGTCTAGAATTAGCTACTATGGCATGTATGATATCAGCCGTCTGCAAATCCGAGGTCTCTCCCCTGCCCATCAAAGTAAATCATCGGCATCGGGTACGGAAGGACAACACTATTTGCTCAGAACTGAGAGGTGGAGAAGTAAAAAATGGAAACAGCTACCACTACACACTAAAGTTCTGGCACCGGTTCCCAGAACTGTGGGTATACGGAACTGGCAGTGGTGGTCACCGAGATGGTATGTGAAACGATTTAGTTTTTCTCAAGAAGCCTGAGCTTATGATGCATGTCTCTGGAAACTGGAAGATAAGGGCCAGTAGGAGGGAACCAGTGGGTTCTAGCCATGAAAAAGACTCCACCAGAGAAGAATGTTTTCGTGTGATAACCTAGGAGCAGAAGGTGGTTACGGGAGGCCAAAGTGTGCCTGAGGTTTGGCCCGTGACGTCAGGGGCGTTGATAGTTCTTGAAAAATAGAAACAATACCTGGTTGGTCTCGATTACTTACGGAGTAGGTATACTGCGGGCTACAACATCCAATCGTCCAGACACTTCCGTATGCACGATGGGTATGCAACTGGACAAAAGGCCTATTCTGATTGGGATAAGCAATGAGAGCTCCATCATGATCCACAACCCCCTTCACTCAGGAGTCAAATCCCAGACCCATCGCCAAGTGATATGGAAACCTATTCCGATGATCTGGGATACTCCACCGCGTCCTTTCGAGGTCGCATACGGGGTGTATCTGGCAGAAAGGCGCCTAGGTGATTCGGCTGACACATTTTCGAAAAAGACTCAATGCATAGTGCAGGGCTTGTGAACTCTTAACCAGACCTCAGTCTCTCATAACATCGTCTATCATCCCGAATGCATCAGACACTAGCCCTCCCCCTACACACCAACCAATAGTGACGGACTAAACTCCCCGATCAGCGTCCATATTGCCACCCGGTGGATCAATCTCTGAACAAAAATGCGAGGCTTCAGAGGACATACGCTTCCTAGGCGTCGAACTGTCATTATGCGACCTGCATCCTAACGTCATACGGAGGCTGGTGATGAATCTTCCTTTTCATTTTCGACGCTATTCACACACCCTTATGGTTGTGCTTAGCCCCTAGGTAACCTAATGATTATTACTAAACTGCCTGTGGATGATGTACGCAGACTAGGGCTCAATTCGCTTATGTGACCCTCTCCTACCTCCCTCGGCGCGCTACTATTTTCTAAGTGTTGGCTCTCGTATGCCAAGGAGGAAGGGATTGGCCTCCATGCTCATTGAAGGATGACCATGAAAATCAATGTGTATTGATCTCGGAATGGAAGCAGATATCATATATTAACTGTGACGTCGGTACGATATTTTGCCGGAGTGTTTATTCTGCTTCTTGTCATACCTCCGGCCTTGTTTTTCTCTGACCTGCAAAGCATAGAAATGTAATCAATCCATAAGCAGCCTTTACGTAACTACCGTAAGGCACTTTTGTGTCTGGATATGCAAGTTATACCTACCTTAAGAGGATGACGTACAAACCTCCTACTCCATGAGGACACATGAAAAGCTGACCGTCGGAACAAGACCTTAAGCGGAATAGCATCGATCACTCTCTTAAGTAGCGTGTACCTTGAAGTCAAAGGTTAGTCTATCAAGAGCAGCCAAGACTCTCTCACCGCGTTGTGAGGAATAGCCGGATACCAGGCTGGGCTATCTCCATTACAGGCGTCTAATAAGCCAATCGGTTCATCAATCGACACAAAATAATTACCATCAAGCCATGCTACACTAATGCTTGGATCCAGCGTTTTCAACAAGGATGAAATAAGTTATACAGATATGCAAAGATTCAAGACCCTATAATCAGATGTAGATACAATAGGAGACGCCTCAATCAAAGAACATAGACACATTTCATGCTCATCACACATAACCTGTTTGCCCGTTAGCATTGAATAACCAACCTGAATTGAGGGAACATGGGTGTGGGGCCGGGGATAAAAGCCCCTGAGCAGCACCCTAAGACGTACCCTTCCTAGCACCTTGGAAGAAGAACCGGACAACAAAGACCTGCAATCCAGCCATCGATACCATCATCAAGCCCTCAATGACGCTAAAGTTGAAGATCCGACGTTCAGTGCTACGAACAGTGCTAAAGTTACGGTTCTCTCGGGTCCGGAAGTATTTCTGGTTTCGAGAAATGGTCGAAAGCTGGGCGGAAAGCTTGTAGACGGACTCCTCGAGCGCGGAGGCCTGCTCGGGGCTGGCACCCTGTCGGGAAGGGAGTTGCGCACGTTCTTCGTTTTCGACCTGGTTGAAGAACCAGTCAATATTGTTCCAATGACGTAGAAATAAAGACAATGATGCAATCTAGGACCCCAGCATACCGCAATCTCAAAATCCACCAGCTTCTCGGCGAAAGTCGACATCTCATTATTGAAGCAGAATCTGTATTCCCCGATGCTCTGTGCCGTGAAAACGAAGTCGCCCTGTCGTTCTTTGGTTCCATCTAAGACCACCTTCTCACCGGGGCCGACCACCTGATAATCCACATCGAAAGAGCCGCCAGATTGGACCTAAAGAGACATGGAACATTAGCATCCATGCTGCCTACCTCGTACTTAAGACCAGCATGGTAAAGAGGCACCCACAGCGAAGTAGAAGGCGACCTTCGCGTTCCTCTGGTCAACATAGTTGTAGAAACAAGCTTTCTCGTTGGCTTCGAGTTTGTAGGTGAGGGCGGTTGCCGTCACCGTCGACACGAAAGTGGCCAAAAGGCCTATGAGCAGGGCTGCGAAACGCATCGTGGAAACTATTGGAGAGCCAGGAGCTCAAACTGGGATTCTCTCCAGGGGTGTCTTGATTTGGCACAAGGCGCGAGTCGAAGTTCTGGCCAGCTGTGTATTCCGCTGTGTTTGCCATGTTTGCATATTACTTGCCAAACCAATCAAAACTGGGTGGTCTACTCCGTACAACTTAAGGAGCACTAAAGCCCTTTTCTTTAAAAAAAAAAAAAAAAAAAATTGGTGTGTATTTTCAGTTCATGACAGTAATCAAAATGAAAAGTTCACATTTTCATGCATCAAATCAGTGTCCTCAAAGGAACTCTCGAGAAAGAAAAAAAATTTGATCATGATAACATTGAGATCCGCCCGTCTACAGAGAGCAAATGGAAAAGACAAACGTAAAAGACAGATAAACAGAGTGTCCACAGGTTCATTTGATTTTATAAAGCTCTTCGTAAACATATTTGCGTCTGCAAGCATACCGCAATTCCATATGCATTTCCCGCTAATTGCAAGGTAACTGTGCACTAATCTCATACACTCACAAGCACAAAACTGCCCTTCTATCGGATGAAAAACGACTCACTTCTGTTCCAAAAGCTGCGGTTTTTATTTACATGGTCGAGGCCAAGGAGGTCGTCGGAATCGCCGACAACGTCGGAAAGGATATCATCTAAATGGATGAGAATGTTAGCTTACATTTGTATAGTATGCATGATCTATAGACCCACCGTCTTCAAGATATCGCGGGTTCGAGTATAGAGAACGAGGAACAGCGGCAAACTTGATCTTCTCAAATTGTTTACCCTTGATGCCAGTCCGCTTGGAGAGTCTCTCCTTTGTTTCTTTGAAGACCTCACCCTACTGAACGTTAGTATGCAGCACAAATCTACCTCGTGAAATGGTCCTCTAACCGGTTTAAGAACGAACTTGAACGGCACACCATGTGGCCTGTTCAAATCACGATCAAAGTTGTAGGCGTTGATTGTGCGCTCGCCCTCTCCCATATTAATCTCTTCTTCGGGCATTCTCTCGGCATATAGTGTCACGAACTCGTTGATACCGGCAATTTTGGTATCTCCTGGGAAGTCTCTGTAAATCTTGCCGGCATGCGTCTCATAGATCCTAACTTCACGGATCGTATCTTCGTCTAGGTTTGCCTTCTTTTGTAAACCGCTGAGAAGATCTGAAATGGTGCCATCCCGGGGTACCAAGACTTCCACAATTTGCTGGTATAATGTTAGCATTGATTTACAATATAGCAAATATCTCTTTGAGTTACCTCTTTCGTAATGCCTTCGGGAAGCCAGGTCACTTTTAGGGAAGTTTTGGACTCGTAGTCGCTCAGGCTTGTCTCCAGAACCTCGTAATACAGTGCATCAGAGCGGTGCATGCTATATCCGTAACCGGCCATCGTTCCACTGAGGATTTGATACAGGGTCTGGTTCGCTTGGTTGGGGTTGCGTTTGATAAATTGCTTCGGTTTCCCCGTGCTTGCCATGACAGGAGCGAAGCGCAAGTGCGTAGACTCGACATTCAAATGTTCACCCACTTTCTTAGAGAACTGGTCATAAGTCATCTTACGGCTTAGAGTCAAGGTAAACTCATCGCCTTCGCCAGCCTTTATCGGGGCGAAAGTAACGCTAATCCGATTCAAAAGGTAGTCATAGTACTGTCTCGCATCCTGATAGAGAGCAGTAGAAGGTAGGTCCGCTTCCTTGGTCGATTTCTGGAACGTAATGATATCGCCATCTTGGATCTCGGATTGTTGGAAAGTCTGCTTCGGCTTCATGACATCGATCATATTATGTTTGATTTCCTCATACAGCATGAACTCTGTACCGGCAGGCCAATCCATCTTCTCAAGGATTGTTGGGGCAAGCTCAGCTACCTTCTGACTTTTGCGAACGTATACGGGGCCAACACCCGACAATGTCTGCGACGGGGCATCAAAATGTTTCAGGAAGACTAGCACCGAATTGCTGCTGTCTGGCCAAGAAACCGTTCCATCCGCGGAGGGCTGTCCGACCTCCATCCACACTCTGAACGGGTTTCCTTTAGTGCCAAATCTGCTGTAGGCCTCTTCCACTGTCATATCTGGATCCGTAATAACCTGATCTGGTCGAGTCGTTTTGTTCTGGCGATTTACCATTACCCAGAATCGAACTCGTTTGGCATCAATACCCTTTTCTTGTGCAAGTTGCTCAGCAAATTCGCCAACCTTCAAAGCTCTGAGTATCCGGTATTGCTTCGGAAGTGCCGGGTCTTCAGCCGGTAGATCAAGGCTCGTCAGATCAAATCCATGGTGAGACTTGAAAGACTCCTCATTCAGGACTCCAACATTGATGTATAAGTGGGCTTCCTCTCTTTCCTTCTTCCTGCGTGCCAACTCCGCGCGCTCTTCGACCAGACGCGTCTCAATGTGAGATGGAATGTCTTCTTTCATTATGGGAAGAAGGACATCGTTCAACCTTGACTTCCGAATGTAAACTAACATGTAGGCGTTCATGGAGCGCTTCGTCGATAGACCACGCGTGTAAGGTTGCTTGACGCCGGGCGCACCGTTGGCCAGCTCATATTCACCACCATAATTTTCTTCAAGGACTTCCTTGTCAGTAGCTCGGGTAACCCTGTCGTCGTCAAACCGATACCAGCATCCGTCCTTAGTAGGTTTTAGGAAAGCGTAATAATGGCCTGCGTTCAGATCACCACTGTGTACCAGCACGCCATGTAACTGGTAGATCCACGGCTCTGATTTATCAGCATCATTGGAAAGGTAAGGCGTGGCATCAAATTCCATAGGGAATGCATGCCGATCATTGATTTTCATCATAGCGTCGCGGTTGATGTCATATTCAAATCGTTTCAAGTGAAGATGCAAGACGGGAGGAAAACTTTCGAAGATAACACCCTTCTTCGCATCTTGCAAACCGTACGGTGGCCCAGCGTCGTACTTGTTCTCGCCCTCGAGCGTTTCCACTTGAATGTAATCCTTGAAGCTGTCGTCCAAAGTCTTGTTGTTCCTTACATTGAGTTGAATATCCCAGAAGTCCTCCACACGCGAGGATTCATAATCGACATTGATGCAGGAAATGTAAGTCTTCGTCTTTCCGACAAATAACTCCGGCAATGCCTTCTCCGCTGGCGTGCCCTTCATTCTCTCCTCGAGTCTCTCCATCAGCTTACGCGACAATTCCTGAACATCCTGTTGTTCAAAAATCTGTCTCGACTCCCAGCCAAACGAAGCAGTGAGCTCAGCTGTTGAAACAGGGTTTTCACTCGTTTGGAGATTATAGAACAACCTCTGCAATGTCCAAGCACTATTATCCCGTGAGGCTTCCGCCTCGGTTGGAATTTGATATGTGGCCTACGAGAAAGTCAATTGATAGACACTCAATACGCGTAAAGTACTCGGTCACATACCTTTCGGAATGCATTGGTGAAGTATAGCGACTGTAGAAGTGAGTTGAGGTAACAGGTAGCACCCTGGTTTTTCAATCCAACCATGCCAGTTTCTTTCTTTGAGTCATAGCTAAAAGGGATTAGTATCATTCTCTACAAAAGCTCTTCTGTATAACATACTTTTGGAAGCTGTGCCACAAGACACCCGTTGGATCCTTAACGACACGGACGTAGGCTGTAACCATAGCTTCATCATTTTGCACAAGAGATACTCCACGACCTTCCCATGGTACGTTGAACAGCCTTCGTAGTTCACAAAATCGGGTAAATCCCCAGTCTCCCTCATCCACGTTGAACCGATGAGTCGCAACTAATTAGGATCAGCAAGTAGCATAAATCACACATAGATGCCATGCATACCATGAGAGATTTTGATGGATGGATCGTTCACGTTCCACAAGACAAGGCCGAACTGCACACAAGCGTACCAGTTTTCAGGTGGCTCCGTTTCCCAAGCATGTTCCAAGTAAAACGATGCGTGCTCAACGTGGTTTCCATATGGGAAGAAGAGAATCCGCCTATGCGCCATTATTAAAATCATACGATCGAGCGGCAAATCGCGACCAAATTGTGCACCCACCATGGGAATCCTGCGCATTGGAATGTCGGGCCATGTTCCTTCTTCTTCAGCTTGCGCCAGTCTTTAATATGCCATGTATGATACGCCTCATCTTCGGTTTCAAGTTCCGGGTCTTTAGGAAGGATTCGTGCCATCATCGCTGCATCTATACCGGAAGTTTGCGTTAGAAGACGTCCCAAACAGGCGAGGAAATGCTGTCATCAGATATTCTCGAATGGAACCTCTGACCCCGCGGCGGGGGTACGCATAACCTTCCATGGCCAACTTAAAGGGAGCAGATTCAATAGATGAATATCATATAGAACTAGTCCTTACAATCGTCTGCAGCAGGCTCCAGCTCCGGCTCCTCCGATCCGGACCGAGAGACAACAACATCGTCTGTCCTGTCATTGTGATACTGCTCATATTCGTCGACGAGCATTTCATTATCCGGGACCTAAGGCGGGGACCCCACAATCAGTTGGGTATTTCTAGTATTGAAGTGAGGCGAAAGCATTTTTGTTGCTCTTCGGTACAAAAGAAGGCGGCGATAAAGCGTGGAGGACAAAGACTTACGTTATCCATAGAGGGAAAAAATAGTGCGCCCACGCACTGAAATCTAAAGACACACTCGTTTCGGTACTAGGTTGGAAATGGGGACAAATGTACAGAAAAGAGTGAAGGGGGCAAGAAAAGAAAATTAGGGAGTGAGGTCAAACTGACAGCGTGTAGGGACGCCGAGTGGCCAGAGACACAGATGGTTCAGGAAGAGGTTCCAGTCCGAAGGAGTTGAAGCTAAGGTAGTGGCGGAGTGCGCAGAACCCAATAATAACGGCTATGCCTCGGCGGGACAATATTATTAAGATCCCATTCTTTCAATTAACTAACTACTGCATGAACAGCGAAAACGAATTCGTAGGCTAAATTTTCGACATCCAACACTGAAAGTACTCATATGTATGTACCTTTTGCAATCTATATCGAATGAATAATTTCTAAAATCTTCACATGATTTTTAATTTGATTACATTGAATCTAGAGCCTCAGGCAGCAGACAGGATGCCTGTTCAATTGAGTTGCTATTCTCATGCCCGCCTTTAATACCCATATTTTCTGGATATGGTATGGTAATTGCAGACAATGAGTGAGTTACCTTGAATAAACGATCGTCCACAATGATATCATCTCACTTTTGACTCGATCCTACCATCTGATCGAGTTCGAACTAACCAAGGACTGGATGTGAAGAAGGTACCGTACGGCAAATTGAATAAGAATTGCATCATTCGATGTAGTCCAATTACCATTGTAGAGCGGAAATTTCCCCTTTCTCCCCATATAGTAAACATGAGTGGGAAAAAGCTCATTGTACTGTTTGTACAACGTTATTCGAGGTATAATATACATATCACATTTATATATATAGACGGGCAAGCTCCAGCTTGATTTCATATCAGGCTTACTTTACCAACCATCTATCCAACATGGCCTAGGCACCATAATAGTGTTCTAGAAAAATATCAATAGTAATTGAGTTCTACTAGAAAAATTCGAGTTAAATTCTGAATATTCATATCAGATGCCCAGACGGAAGACCGCGTGAACCTGCCCCATGAGAGTTTAAGAAAGGGACGTCACATGCCAGGACGGAAAGTTCTCACCGCCTGCGGAGGGCTGTTTGGATTGCGCCCGCATCAAGTCATGAAATACAACCACCATGTCATGCCACTGGTAAAGACACCACATTCCACAACCCGGTGAGCCATGTATGGAAAAGTTTATCCAGACCTGACTTTGGGTGAACTTTGCTGGTCGGAGACCATATCGTCGTGTCGCAGCTCTTACAATCCATGAGACATCTTTGATCCAGTTCACAGTGAAGCAATATGCTGCGGAGTCATCCAGCTGGGCGCTGGCATGCCTTCCGACAAGCGTGTGCTCCAAAACTTCGCGCTTATTCGGGCCTCCATCAGCTTCAACCCCATAATCCACCACCATGGAGACCTGTCTCCGCTTTGGATGAGTATAGACTTCAGATACATATCTTCTAAGTACCACATGCAGCTGACGCGATTTCTTCTAGGTGGGTCGAACGCGACATCCGGCCTATAAGTTTACGGCAATTGACCTTTTTTGGGCGGACTTTGACAGAATCTCGACTTATTAGCTCCGCTAACTATGTGCGAACAGAGCTTCCCACTCGGTTAGTGCGCTTTCCATGGTTACTTGCGCATCCTTCTAACAGGTTTGGTGTCGTTCGGCTTATAGGCTTGCCCATCGCCTTCGAGATATTCAAAGGCTGCCGTACGTTGTTGTAGCTAATCCTCATCTGTCTCTCGTATATGAGCTCTACTATAAAGCCTTTGAACGATTTCGAACGATTCCGGAGATTAAGACCCTCGATGACAACGATAAGTTTTGTGATATTCTACGGAAGACTCTGAAGGAACACCTTGTAGTGATTCCGAGATTGGCAATGGGCGTTTTGGAGTGCCGTGCTCTGCTACCGGCGGACGTGCTTGATCAGTTTATGAACACTTTGCTTCGCGCGGTATGCTAGTTTCCGGCGTACGTGCGGCATGGCTCCCAAGTGGCTAACTGTTGCCCAATAGAGAATCTCCCGCCGAGTCATAGCGGAGCAACACCTGGCGCTAACGGAAACTTTCAACTCCCCGTGGCACTTTCCTGGCTCCCAGGATCGCACGGATGTTAATGCGGACTACGTTGGGGAAGTCTTCCTAAAGTGCAACGCAAAGGAGGTTATTGAGCGCTGTGGCAAACTTGCGCAGGATATGATGCGACAGGCATCAGGGACCGATAAAATCCCCGAAATATCCGTGCAGGGGCACCTAGACGCTACGTTTCCCTACATGCTAAGCCACTTGGAATATATAATTGGGGAGCTGCTACGAAACTCAATTCAGGCTGTCAGTGAAAAATATAATGGCTTGCCTGAGAAGCCACCACCCATTGAAGTACTCGTATGCGAAGCACCACAGCATGTTATCATGCGGATTTCTGACCAGGGAGGAGGCATACCTCGCGAGGTTCTGCCGTACCTGTGGTCCTTCAACAAAGGTCCTCACAGTAAAGCACGGCTTCAAAATCTGGAGCAGGTTCCGGCAATGGCAGCCACGATGCAGGAGCTGACAGTACCGAAGGAACGGAAACGGGCCGACAAGGAAACATTCCGAGAGAGCTCGCTTGACACACTTACCTCACGGCCGCCAAACCTCCGCCTAGGCATGGGACTTCCTATGAGCCGAGTGTATGCGGAATATTGGGCAGGCAGTCTTGAATTGCACAGCTTAGAAGGATATGGCGTGGATGCATTCCTGCAGATATCCAAGCTCGGCAACAAGAACGAGCAAGTCACCACGAGGGCATCGATTGATGCAGTGTGATGAAGTACGTGGCTTTTTTGGACATTTTTTTCTGTTATATACATGATACGTATACCTATAACCGTAGCTATAAAATAGAGAAATATTAAAAAGACGAGACAAGCTGTTGGTATGTACAGTGGGGAGCAATTGAAATTTGGAACACCCGTATAGGGTTTAGTGGCCGGTTTAGGGACCGCCTACTAGACTAGTCATATTCTGCTAGGCAGGAACCTCATGAATTCCTATCCTAGTACTTATTATACCAGCCCTAGGCCTCAACGACAGTCTTTACACGGTGAGGCATAGTCTGGGAAAGGCGTACATGAACCAGTCCTGCTTACTATGGTAAAAATGGTAGGCGGTAGGACGTCCGCACGGGCCACCTCCTAGGGGTGTTCCAAATTTTCAAATACCTCCCACTGTACTCCGTACTAGCCATGGACTTAAAATTAGCCACAGACCCACTTCCCCAGGTTTCGCGCCGTAACCAATCTTGAATAGGAAACGTAAGGAATCCATCCGGCTCCTACCGGGAATGACGTCATCTAGAATGTACACCCGCGCCGTTTCCCAATCAAAAGAAATTGCAGCGCCCTAAGGAGAAAAAGAGGTTGCCTAGGTACGTTGGTAGTAAGAAGAATGCAAACAAAAATCTAGAAACTCAGCCCTATCCGTTCGCTCTCTCCCAAAAGAGGATCTTGCCCTGGTGTGACGTGACGTCGATCTTCCCACCCATTGCCATAAAACATAAGTATATAATCAACATGAAGCGCCTCAATTCCCCCCAAGACGACAACATCCCAATCTACATATTCGGTCTCCTCTTCACTGTTCTCATTCTCAGTTTCCTCGGCACGTATCTTGACACCAGCAAATCACGGCTCGTGAAGTCAACACCCGAAACTCAATAACGATCAGACACCATTTGGGTTAACCAAAATGGCTGGAACCTGCTCGATGCTTTGCCTGATCCTCATCACACTCTTCAGTAAGTTTGTCCGTCTAGAGAGTTTCCCATTTACCCCTGTCCAATGGCCTCAGGCCCTTGTTCTATTCGTTTCGGGGTTCATATCTAGCACACTCCAATTTCAAGTTTTCAACAGCAGGAAATAGTAATGAAACTTTTACTGACGTGGTGCTACTAGTTCCTCCGCTTGGCGTTTTTCTCATCTCTGGATGCAGCGCTGATTTCTTCATTAATATTCTGCTGACGATTCTTGGGTACGTTGCCCAGTTAATCCAACCCTTCGTCCGGATGACTAGGATGATTCTCACTATATTTATACACATGCTCAATCGAAAAATACATTCAATTCTATTTCAATAACAAAACTAACGCAGAATAGGTATCTCCCGGGCCATATCCACGCCTTCTATCTTGAATACGTATATTACCGTCAACGCGATGGGGCAACAGGACGCGCACCTGGTGTATACTCCGAGCGAATCCAGCGTGGCGGTCACCATGAAACAACCTATGGCACTATCCACAATTAGTCAGTTAAAGCTGCGGTTACGACTTACGAGGGATGCGGTACACTTGTTTTATTAAGCCCATACCTGATAACTCTGGTCTAATTATTCGTTCGTTATTGCTTGCGTAAAAAGCAGGCCCACTTTTCGGTTATAAACCTATGATTGCGAGTGCTATTCCTACAATTGTACTTTGTCTTCCATTATTCGCAGTCTAAATTGCAATCCCACCATTTAGTCCACGAACCACATCTTACACGTAGTAACCGTTTAAACCAAAACATATGGATGAATGACTGGATCAATTAATACACAAGAAGAACAACCTAGACCTCCGCCTTCTTCGCCTGACCCTGGCCTTCCGCCGCCTTAGCAGTTGCCTTCGTCTTCAACGCCGGGAACTCAAATGGTTTACTCCTCCCAGCATCACCACTAGTCCTCGGCACGGCTCCAGACCCAGGGCTCCACCACAGAGCTCCAACCCAAGGCTGCACGTTCCACCCAACAGAAAGCGTCACATTACTCCGCTCCGCCATCTTCCCCGTGATATCCGAGATTTGATACTTAGCCCGCTGGTTCCTCAGACGGAGAACACCAGGCACAGCCTTATCCTTCTTAGTCGACTTCTTGGCGCCGGTGGTCCGTTTCGAGGAAGACTTGGACGGGAAGAAGCGCTCACGAAGAGTGTTGAAGGAGTACGGCGACTCCGGGGCCGAGATGATGGTATCCCAGATGATGGACTCAGATTGGGGGAGGAGAGTGGATTCCTTGTCGGAGGAGGAGTAGGAGGCGTAGACGTAGACGAAAAGTTGTTTTGTGTTCCAGTTGAAGAGGGAGGAGAGATCTAGATCGGTATTAGTTGCTTGCTTAAGCAGAGATTTTGACTGATAGGGTCCAAAAGTACGTACCGGCGTCCAGATCGAAGCGCATTTGTGCGTATTCTTCTTTCTTATTTGAGTAGTAATGTGGGCGTCCTTTGATTCTGCGTGAACCTTGTTAGTGGATCTGCATGGAGATAGGCACAGAGAATGGCACGTACACTTTGACATCCTTCAATGATACCGCTGCTTTCGCCTCATCGGTTGGATATAACAGGACAGATAACGCGGCAAAACCGGCGACGAACAAGGCCACGGTTGTAAAAAAGCCGAAGACGGCCTGCGCTCGGTTTAAAGCCGAGTGCATGGTGGGCGATTTCTTTGTCTCTTTGATGCAATTGACGGTACTATGACTGGAGATATGGATTGATAGATTAAGGAAGCAAGGTAAATAACCTCTGATGTTTTATGAAGTAGAAGGGAGGCGAACTCCCTGTGGAATAGCGCTGCGACAAGGGAGTTACGAAATGATGTTTGTTGAAGCCACATGGACCTTTTCGCGCAGGCGGTGAGTGGAGCACGAGGCTTATCGATAAGGGCCGTTCGCTATTCATGGAGGAGGAAGTAGATATATAAAGAGCAACTAGCTAGCTATCATAGCTGCCTTGGTTTTCATTCTTTCTTTCCGCATGTCTTTCGACTCTATAGCCTTAATTCTCTGAGGGTTGGGCCTTCTGGGCAACAAGAAACTCCTAGTCCATGACCTTTACATTATACCACTCTGAACTATTCCGTACAACCCCACAGCACAACTAGATCGCGATATCAGACAGCTCCGGTGAAGTTAGGCCCAAAGCAGTCACAATGGGGGACCATGTCCTCTTCTTCTACGGTAAGCCCTCTCGGCTGATCCGATAAATATATCTTAAACGTCACTCTCAACCATGCACTCCTCATACAGCTACACCATACCTAATCCCCAGTCTCCAACGTTTTTAAACCCCAATCTACCCCACCAAACCAGCCTAGCACGCAAGCAAACAAACCCAAACTAACAACGTTCCCAAAGGAACCTTAATGGCACCCCAAATTCTTCACCGGGTAATACACGGCTCACCGGACCCAGAGCCCTGGCAAAAGGCCCTCCTCACATTCAAACCAGCCATTCTGCATGGGTACCGACGGCATCGGGTGCGGGGAGCCGACTACCCAGGTATCGTGCCGGTCAAGCCAGCAACTACAGAGCTTGACACGGATTCGAATGCTAATGGCATGGCCGCCGTGCTTGGGACCGTTGTCTCGGGGTTGACGGACGGTGATATCCATCGATTAGATATCTTTGAGGGGACGGAGTATGAGAAGGGTAAGGTGAAGGTTAGGATTTTGCGGGAATCGCTGGGTGGCAAGGATGGGGAGCTGGACGGGAAGGATACGGATAGACATTTGATGGATGTTCTGGATGCTGCAGGCGCTGAGTTTGCGGATGAAGGTGAGGAGGTAGACGCTGTTACTTATGTTTATGTTGCTGGGGAAAATAAGCTGGAGGATGGAGAGTGGGATTTCGAAGCATTCAAGCGGGATAAAATGGCGTGGTGGGTTGGGGCAGATGAGAGTGAGTGGTAATCTCTTTAGATATTGAAAAATTTCCATAGAAGGCCAAATGTATTTTGTTCTTTAGATGGCCCAAATCAGCATATTCTCTTCCATCGAAAGCGGGTCTATAACTTTATGTACAATCTTTAAGCATGCCAACAGCTGAAAACATCAAACATGCATGTGTCGATAGTGTGGGCGTCGCCGAGAAGTTCCATGAACGTAAATCCATATTTCCATAAGCAATACGTGGTATCTCGTGCACCCCGAGTAAGTTCTCATGCTCATATGCCCGAACGCCTAATCGAGTGCCAGCTCCTATGGGGTTATCAGAAAAGAAAAATAAAATATAAATAATAAAATGAAAATAAAAAAAGACAGGTTAAAAAATGGAGAGAAAAAGAAAGAGAAAGAGTTTCGTTGATTGACGCAATTGAACCATAGTAAAAGCTTGGTTTAACCGAATTTTTATTTGGGTTTCTGCCTGGCAGAGCGCTGATTCTTTATGTTGCCTTGATAAGACGGTGGCATAATCTGCACTTCGACTGTGTGAAACTTCGCTGGCTGTCCAGCCTTTTTTGTTTCTTTATTTTCGACCGGACGCACTTCGTGGTCCACCGGCTTTATCGCTGCTAGATCGCTTGGAGACCCGTGTTTCTCCTTGGGTATGTTCGCTGAATGAAAGCTAACCTCCTCAACTTCCTCCTGACTGTTAGGGACCTGGACCTCGATACCTTTGTCGTCAATTTTGTTTGATATATTTGTAGTGGTGATTACCACACCTGAGCTCTTAAGACTGGGCGCTCTTGGATGCACACCATCCTTCTCCGTTTTGAGAGCTGGGTCATCGTCGGAAGCCGCGGGACTCGAATGGCTCGAGGCTGGTCTCCGTTTGTTAAGTGATAGCTTTTGCGGATTTATTTCAAGATTTGAGGAGCCCTTGACTTGCGGTTCCTGCAAGCCACTGCATTCTTCGTTTTGGGCGGATGCGGGTGCAGAAGACCCCAGAAGGTAAGATATCGGATATCTATCGGCCAGGGCTCCCTTTCCACATCCCTTTTCAGAGTCTAATTGCGCCTGCTCATCATAAAGATCGTCCAGAAAGTCACGCAGTCGACGTCGAAGAAGACCGGACCTTAGAAGCGGCCAATCGTCTTGCGTCTTCATTTCTCTCCTGAGAAGCTTCCCGATAAACAAGTCTGGATTCTGAACAAACTTCTCTATGTATGCTAGAAGGTATAGACCGCAGTCTGAATAGTTAGACTGCAGAGGGATCGCTCGAGCCCTCATGCCTCTGATTAGGCTTCTATCGATTTCAATGCCGCGTTTAGATTTGGCCTCTTCGTAAAGGTAATCGCGGAGATTACTGATGGTAGGCGAGCGAGACAGATCTAACGAGTCAAAAGTAATTATAGTTACTTGACGCATATCAAACTTAGCACCTCCAGGCTTTCCGCCGGGCTTTGCCTTCTTCAAGCCTTTATGGGGAGACGCTGCTAGCCCAGAAGTCGCCCCCAGGCTAGCCTTTTGGGTGGATTCTGATTTAGCTGCAGGGCTAGAGAACTTGGCGGGAGAAAAGGCAAGGTTCTCTTCTTGCTCCGGCCACTCTGTAGGGGCCAAGTTTGGTACACCGTCCTTGGGTTCTTCTTTGTCTGACAAACTCATTGACTCGAATGACTGCCGGGTTGCTTCGTCTTTTGCAGGTTCCAAAATTTGTCTGTTATTGACTTTCATTTCTTTATCCGCAGGTAGTTCCCCGATAGGTTCAGGTGTTTCGGGGATTTCGCAGCCTTCACTCTCCGGTGCAGCCGAACTGTCTTTATTATTTTCCGAGGGTTGCCGGTCCTCCGTGCTTTTGTCGGCAATACCAGATAAATTTGGCAGGTTGCAAATGACAGCGACGTACCAATGAGCGTTTTCATTGATAGGGACCACGATGTAATCGAATCCGAAAATGTCAACGGCGCGAGTCCACTTTTGGACACCTTCATAATTGATATTTCTTCTGCCCTTAACGTTTGTCAGGGTTGCGAAGAAATACGAGTTGAAGAAATAGACTCTCTTCGCTACCTCCTTGTTAGTCCGCTCTAAGTGATCCTCGAGAAAGCGCATGTAGAAGCCTATGAGGTTATCATTCAAAAATTCGTTGTCACGAAGCCGTTCACGATCTTGCGCATCGACCTCAGCCTTTTTCTTGCCAAAGCGGGGATATACAAGTGGTCTAACATTTGATTAATACATGGACGTACAGAGAAATGGAGGGGCGCATACTTGTGCCATTTTTTATCTGTCTCTTCAGCCTTTGGCTGAGAGCCATTATCCTCTGGCCCGTCATCACTGCGGCTCAGGTTAGTTGGAGAACCTTGTTCATAGCAAGGGGCCACTCACCAAACGACTGTTGTTGCTGGTGTCCGACGCGACATTGACCGTGTTGCTCGATTAGAGAATGACGAGCCCGGAGAAAGTTTCTTCATAGGAACTTTGTCCGCTTCGTGTTGATTTGAGGGTAGTTCTCGTGTGCTTTCGGCGTTTAAGGTTCCCGGAGATTTTGTTGCTGAGGATTTGGAATATTCCACCGAAGCGGTATCCGAAGGTTGTATTTGTCCGGCAATATTCTCATTATTGTCCTGCAAAGAGTCCGACAATTTCACCCTCTTAGCGATTTCCGGCGCCTTGTATAATATTGGCTGTTGCTTGTCTTCACTAACGCGCTTGGTTTCATTCGCTTTCTTTTCCGCCAGATCTTCGGCCCGTTTGATGAATGAATCCTCTAACCAATCACTGTAATAGTATAAGCTTCTATACAAGGAGTCAAGAACGTGTGATGGCAGATAAAGACATACTCGCGCCTGTACTGCAGCCGAACATGTTGCCCGTGCAGCAATCTTTGTAACAGAGTACACAATGTTTCCTGCTCCTCAGACGTGGAGAATTCCATGTCCATCTCGTTATCAAGGCCCCCTTTTCTGGAAAACTGTAGCCGAACTCTCCGACTAGGCGACTTCCCTTGTACAACCTTGTCAAGTCTCCCAAGAGAAGTTCTTTGACCATTCCAAGGAAACGTTATAGTAGTCTCTGTAGACTCTGTAGACTCTGTAGTCTCCACAGCTAGTTCAAATGCTTCACTTGACCGGTGTTCATACAACCCAAATCGAACGAAAGTGGCATAGAAGCATTTAACGGCTAATTTGACTGGTGTGGCGGGGGCCTTTCTCCGCTTGTCGGATTTCCGATGGTTTTGAGAGGAGCTTGTAAATACCGTAGGCTGTATATCAGATGGAGACGCTAACCGACCGACTACACCTGGATGTTCTTTGACTTCAGACATAGCAATGGTGGCCTCATTTTCACGGCTTCTTTTCAGTGTGTTGGGTGCTGGCTGAACGGTTGCGCCTCCTTGAAGTTCATCAGGGCTGTCCCTCGAATTGCCTGGATGATTCTGATCCATCCCAAAGGAAAGACTATAGAAATTCGGTCCCTCTTGAGGTTCCTTCGAGGGCCGCGAATGTATCTCAACACTTTCGATGGCTTCATGCTTTCCCGCTCGATCTGGCCACGCCAATTTGGTTGATTCCGGTTCCACTTTTGACACCATCGCACGCCTTTCTCTGGCTGCGTCTTCAGTAAATCGCTCTTCATAGTATCCATCCGAGGATAGTTGAGAGTAATTTATAGAGCCTCGCTTGGGCGTTCGAGGGGGTTTAATGCCCCTCTCCACGTCACGATACTCGTCAACTCTATTGCGTTTAGAACTCGGATCCCAGAGCTTCGTTCTTTCTGAATGTTGACTGAATGAAGGCGACAACCGTGTCGAGTGTCCAGCAAGATATGAGTTATCCGGGGAAATTTGCTCCATGATATCATCGTCGGGAATGCTTATGACCCCGGAAGTGTCCTGGCTCTCTCGGCGCCGACGTTTCGACGGCCGCCCCTGATCGTCGTGCTCGGCATCGTTTTCTGGATGGGTGACGATACCTCTAGCACTGCTTTGGTTGCTGCTGCTCCGATCTGCTTTCCCTCGCGCACGAACTGGTCCGCTTTCTCGCGCACGCCGTGAAAGTGTATTGCAAGGTTTGAACGGTTGAATATTCTATGGCCATAAAGTTAGGAGAAAGACAAACAATAGTTCGGAATCCGATCGCATACCACTTTACTCTTGCGACCATACGTTTGCCCCACACTTCCAGGTACAATCTTTACCGCGGCAGGATCGGACCTGGAAAAGTAACTACCTGTAAGCCCCGCGTGCACTAGGCCACTAGAGTTCGAGTTGATAATCGCAAGACGTACCGTATGGTATTGCCGGGCAATAATCTCTCTTCGTCGTTTTGAGTAGGTAGGCGTTTCTGGCTCCGCGTCGATATATCCTCTCCAAGTCTACCACCCAATGTATCAGCAAATTCGGAATCGCTTTTGCGCTGCGAGGTCATATTTACAGACGACGCATCCCTACACCCGGTCGAGGAATGGTCTGGCGTAGTTGTAAACGTACAGATTCAGAACGTTGGAGTCTTTCGGCATAGCTATAGGTTGATTGAATCTAAAAAAAGCAAAGAAATTTAGCCCGTGCATAAGTATAGTCCCACCCCCGACGGAGTTCGATATGATTGTCCGAAGACGACTATGTAGATCACTCGTACTACAGAAATATATATAGAAAAGGCCACATACATCTGAGGAGTGAACAGGTGTGTCAACAGGAAACCCTACAGGCAGAGTTTCAGTTCTCTCACCGGACGTCTGTGTCCGTCGCACTTGGTCGGAGGTCGCATCAAATGGGAGATGATTGGTTGTGGTTGGTCGAGGTTTCATGGGTTCGCTGGGGTTCCAGTTGGACAAGAAGTCTGAAATCCTCCCAAACATATATTCACCAGAGATCATTGCATCACTAGAACAGTTCAGCAGATATTCTCCTCCTGTGCGCACAAAGGGGAAACGTAATTAAAAAGAAAAGAAAGCATCATGACGGAAGAAAAAAGGCGGTGGGAACTCTTTCTGCCCACTGTCTGTTCATGCGGGAATTTAATTTGCAGCCGTCAATGATGTAGTAGAGTTTAGAAAAAGCAAAAGTGACCAATAACTGTAACAAGGCATCGACAAACACTACAAACGGTTCGAGTCTCAGATTCCAGATCCTTAGGTATACTACTCTTACACTGTACACTTCACTCTGAGATCCAAAGGACTAAAACTTGACATAGATACATTTCAGTCCGAATGTAAATCACCTGGCAATGATTGCGACGTACCAGGCGCCCCCTGAAAAGTTCCCTTGAACTTGCATAGCATCTGGCGTAAAAAAGAACAATGACGGGAAATGAAATCAAGCCCAAGTCAAAACAGACGCAGTATTCGCCCCTATGCCCCGATCCCAAATCGTCCCAATTATTTTTTGTTTTCTTTACTATACAGGACCACAATCATGCTCAGATAATCATGTCACGACGCCGCGCCCTTTCCTTTATCTCCCGTAGAGTCATCATTAGCCGTAACCCTTCGTCGTTCTGCACCTAGATTGTGATGTTGGTTGTTGTTGTTGTTGTTATTGTTGTGGTGATGGTGGTGGTGATGGTGGTGGCTGTTGTTTCCGGCGGCCTTTTCCTGACGAGCTTGATCAATGGCAGAGCGTTGAGCAATGCTGTCATCATGGCTCTTCCAGACAATGTTGGTGTCGATTGGGAAGCTCAGCAAACGCTTTATCGTTTCCCTGCGCTACGTTAGAAATAGAACGAGGTTTCAAGGCGAGCCCCGAAGCAGAGAGTCCAACAATAAAGCTTACCTGATCTTAATATTGCGCCCACCGTCAATCCTGGTCCACACACTCAACACATCTTCGCCACTCCGTACACTGAGGACAGCGCCGCAAACTTCATCACCGGCCTCCGCGAACTGGTCACCAACCATAGCTAAGAGAAGATCCTCCCAGTACCGATCAGCAACACCCTTCTTCAATCTTACCACCCACTTCCCACCCTTCTTGTTGGCATCATCTTCCCATACGGGCCGAATACCCTTCTTAAAGATATGATAGTCGGAAACAGTGGGTAAAAGAGAGGGTCGCTTCAAGTGCGAATATATCGACCAGAAACTCTCGACGGAGAATATAGATGCAAGGGGGACGGTTGACTTTTCGTAATCGGAGTATTTAGGGGTGGGTGGACGGTACCAAATGACCCAAGTGGACTTCAGAGGGTGTTCTTTGATGGTAGAACTAGCGGCCTTCATCTTCGCGCCCTCCGCCGAGTCATGCTCTGCTAAGTTGTCTCGTTTCTCGAGGGGCGTCTTGAGGTCGGAGCCGCCGGGAGTTTTGGGGGCACCGAAAGATGCAAAGGCGCCGGATCCCAGGCCGAATGCAGAGGAGGCGTTCGTCGACGGGGAGGACACACCGCCCGAGAGAGGAGATAGAGCGTTGAAGGGATTCGATCGACCGTGGGAGCTATCAGGACCAAAACGCTTTGTGCGGGGAATTTCGACTCTGGCACCGTCTTTGCCGTCTGTTCCCGTCATAGACAGAGACAACTTAGAGGAGCTGGAGTGAGGTGGAACGGTCAGCGATGACCCCTCGAAGATTACCAATGTAGAAAACGAGAAAAGAACGAAGAACGTTTAGGAAATTAAAAAGAAAAGTAAAAAAATAAAAATAAAAGACCGATACATACTTGGATCGGCGAGTCCAAAGATTTGCGTTATCCATGATAGCTACCTAATGAGACGGCTCAGAAAACGAGCGGTCATCAGGCAATAAAACGGAGAAACTGGCAGCTTAACTGCGTAGGGTAAAAACCGAATGATACCGTATACCTGGAAAGCGCTAAAATGTTCAATAGAGACGAAAGGTAGATGGTGGCAATTCAAAAGAAGCGACAGAACAATAGCGACTAATATACTAATTAAAACAAGATGTTGAGCAAGAACAACGGAAGCTAAAGAAAGGGAGTAAAAATCGTGATCGTGATCGTGAACGTTAAGAAGAGGTGGGGGGGGGGGGGAAGAATGCGGATTGCAAGATTGAACTGGAAGAACTCAAGTCACTGTCCGCTCAATTGGAAGAAATGGATAATTATTGCCCTTCGCGTTTCGTCCATTTCTTCAAGCTCCGCTCTTGTCCAATCACCGTCGGGCCCCGCTCTCTGCCGCTCGCACCGTAGTTTTTCCTTCTTTTTTCCTTTAAATTCCCTTCTTCCCTCCCTTTCTTTCCTTCTTCTTTACCATAAACCCAAGACCACCAACTCAAATCATCGCTAGCTGCAACGTTTTTTCTACTCCACTGCACTGGCGACTCCGATGAGTGTGTCGAGAACAACTATTCAAACCCGCTTCTAAAACCATCATCACGAGGGCTTTTCGGCTTCCATGATGCGGTGATGACCTGTATGACGGGACATACCTTTTTGATAATTAGAAAATGTCTTCTTTTATACCTTACATATAAAAGTACAGCGGCAATCCACCATTGCTGTCGCCAGGTGACATAGTTGGTAGCCATCACACAACTGGTGCGTTTATTTCTTTCCTGCCAATTGTCGGCCGTCGTGCTCTTGAAACACTAGTTCATGAGGAAAAAATCATTCTCTGGTAAGCCGAGGTGCTCAACCGCTTTTCTACACTGCCTTTTTGGCTAAGCTGGTCGAGTGTGAGGTTTAAAAGGCAAAGTCTGATCTGTTGCACTTGGTTTCAATGGCACATGCCCTATCCGTTCTGATATGCTTTGGTCATCGAATACTGACCAGCAAATAGTAGACTGAATGTATGACTCTTTGTTTGGGTTCCTAGTTTGTAGAGCATCAACAGATGACTGAAAATCTAAAAACCAGTGCATATCGAATGGGAGAAATTCTATACATTCGCTACACTATAATAGCTCCTGTGGTAATAGCAAAAGCATTGGATATCTGGTGTCAGAACGCGTGACTATAATCCTTATCGTGGAAATTTCTTGAACGTGAAGTCCCCACACAAATCTTGCATCCCAGTGATGCGACGCATGTAAGCGTTTTTGACTTATTGTTCCGTGGGCTGCGCTGAAGATTGCGAGTCCTCGGCGTCTTGCTTGGCACGTTTCGTTTCTCTCTCGCTGGGGGGAGCTGAAGCACCAGCTTTCCGTTTCTCTTTGTCTTTCTGATACTCAGCGCGGCGAGCTTCCCTGTCCTTCTCTTTGCGAAGGGCTTTGGATTCAAATTCATGCCAATCACCCTCAATGTTCTCCAGCCTAGTGATCTGTTAGATAGCAAACTACAAGAATATCATACCACATGGACACTTACTCAATAGCTTGTTGAGGCCTAGGCTCCTCCGACGCAAAGTACGGGTGTGCAAGTATCTCTTCAGCAGTTGGCCGCGCAGTCGGGTCGTAACGGAATATTTGAGAAACCAGGTCCAGAGCTGCTGGGGTTAGGATTTGCCCATACACCTCCTCGAAGACCCTTCTCTTGCGCTCAGTCGGCCGCATCAACTCAAACCAAGGCATCTCAACAATGTCCGGCCAGTCTGCTCGTGTCGGGGTTCCAAGGCAATTGTAGAGCTTCTCCATTTGGCTGATCTCGCCCCCCTCGCCAGGGAAAACGGCTTTCTTTGTGAACATCTCGACGTACACGCAAGCCGCACTCCAAACATCAACTGCCGGTCCATACCTAGTTTCACCCAGAAGCAGCTCCGGCGGTCGGTACCATATAGTGATAACGCGATTTGTGTAATCAAGTTGTCGACTCTTTGAAAAAAATCTGGCCAAACCGAAGTCGGCGTATTTTAGTTGCCCACGGTTGCTGATAAGAATATTGGCGGCCTTGATGTCGCGATGCAACACTCCACGATGGTGAAGGTAGCTTAATCCTTCAAACATCTGCTTTGCCAGGTCCTTTTTATGGGCTGCAGTAAGTGTGAAAGTCGGGTGATTGATGAGGCCGGTAAGGTCATGGGAGAGATACTCAAACACCATAAAGCACTCATTCCTCTCTACCATGACTTCCAGCAAGCTCACAACATTGTCGTTGCGGAGGTGTTGCAGCAACTTGATCTCGCGCACAGCCGTGACAGGGAACCCATCTTTTTCGCCCTCCATTCGTATTTTCTTCAATGCCACCTTCCTCTGGGTATACACGTGGATTGCTTTAAAGACCTTTCCATACGTGCCAGCTCCAATGACAGATTCATTTCCAGGTTTCCGATAATAAACAGAGTCCGATTTAGCGAACTCTTCAGGGAGGGTGGGACGTGGTTTCGGTCGTGTCAGAATTTTAGGTTGTTTTTTGGGTTCCTGAGAGCGATCCCGACGGCGTTCAGGACGGAAATCCTGTTGTCTGTCACCTCTTCTCCTGTCATGGCGATGATCAAAGCGATGATCATCCCTCCTACCGTCACGCCTATCCCTAGGATCACGGAACCCCCGGGGGTCCCGGAAATCGCGCCGGTCATTCCGGCCCCTGTCGCGATCCCTTTCACGATGTCGGTCTCTTTCCCTCTCGCGGTCGCGATCACGACGATCGAAGCGTGGTTCAGGCTTAAATTTGGGAGGCGGACCACCCGCCATCCTATTACGAGGAGGTTCGGCAACCCGGGGTGGTGGTTCTCGGGCCAGCATCCTTTGTGCCAGATCGGGAACGGGTTTCGGAGCAGGGGCTGGAGTTGTCTTCGCCTTGAAAGCAAAACTGATTTTGCCTCCCTTATTTGGGGTCGCAGAGGTATTAGGCTGTCCTATATTCGTAGGTAGCGTTTTTTGGGCATCGTCGATCTCTGTCTCTGGCTTTCCCTCGCCTATCGGGCGATCCTGGCCACCAGGCCTGAAAGCGACATCGCCCTGATCAAGACCCATAGGAGTCTGATTTTCTGAAGCTGTTGGAGGTGGAGGGGTTTGTGACGTGTGCCCGTGTGATGTATGTGGGCTATGAGGCCCTCGATTCCGTGATCCGGGGCCACTCCATTGAAAACTAGTAAAATTACCCCGGCCGCGCGGGGAGGGTGCATTGCCGTAGTTTTGGGAGCCTGAAGTAGAGAATCTACGGCCGCCTCCCTGGTTTTGATAGTTTCCACGATAGCCGGAATTGCCCCCACGAGGACCTGTGGGAATGTGGTTCGCAGACGGATGAAATTGGCTTTGGCCTTGACAAAACTGGCTCTGTGGACCAGTGGGTGGCTGCCTGTACGGAGGAGAACGACTAGATATTGCGCCCGGGTCAGCATTATTGGAAGAGTTTCTCCGTAAGGCAGGGCGAAGAAGAAAAAGAGGAAGAAGAAACACCTACCCAGGATGCGGAGGCTGCTGCCCAATCAAACTGCCCCGTCCACCAGAATACGGAGAGGTAGATTGTGGGGAACCGTGGTAGGAATTAGACGAGGTCACGTATTGCGGTGACGTGGAATATTGTCTCGTATCAAGATGCGGACGGGGATTTGAGCTCTTGGTGTCCCGTGCATCAGATGCCCGCATCCCATGCATCGAAGCAGGCTCACGTGGGGCATCCCCATCTACCAAAACACTAGTAGTATCAAGATCAAAGTTTGGAATTGGCCGAGGTGGGGACGGGGATCTGAGGGAGTTATCTGCAGACTGGATTGGTCTAGTCGAATGCATAGTTACAGATTCCCGCCGGGAGGTAATAGATAACCTTGAACCCACGGATTCTGCTGAATGGCGAGATACAGATCGGTGTCGCGGCTCGCGTCTAATATCGTCTTCAGGATGGGGGCTGTGCAACCGACGAGGGTGGTTGTAAGATTTCGCACCACGAATTGGAGATTTTGAGTGTCTTGGGCGGGAAGAATTCCGTCGACCACCTTCGTCCTTCCGGCGGTCTCTACCTCGTCGCGGTGACCTTCGGCCTGATCTACCGCGAGCTGGGAAACGTCCTCGGCCCCGTTTATGCGGAAAACCTCGCTCAGAGTCGTCACCCGGCTTACTATACGGGTGGCGAGGAGGTTCTTGAGTAGAATGACGGGGATACAGCCCAGGCGAAGGACTTCGTGTTCTTTTGCGTTTTGATGGAGGGGGTGCAGAGGGAGATTGATCTCTGCGATAGTCCCGCTCGGTCGGCCTGTCAATCCCTTGAGTATGGTGTGAATCTAGGTCGGGATGCTCAGTCGGTTTGGGCGATGAGTGCCGACCGAAGTTCTGGCTCGGTTGGTAGTCTAACGGGGGAGGACCAGGGGAGACACGAGCTGACGCAGTACCAGGGGAGAATCCACGGTGCGAACGGTGTTCTTCGTTATCCGCTTGCGCGAAAGAACGCGGTGGCGGCGACCGTCCTGGATGATCGGGTCTGCCCCCTTTGGGTCGGCGACGACGTTGTCGTTCACGGTATCTCTCCCTCCCCCTGTCGCGGTGCGATCCTCGAGATCTGTGCCTTTCCCGATCTCGTTGGTCTGTAGTGTTGCTGGACGCTCTCCACTGGTCACTCAGCACCGGACTCCTACGGGACCCAGCCATGTAAACTTCTTCAACTGCATCTGGTTTAAATAGATGAAGGTAGGGAGGCAGTCGGAATCAGATGGTCTGGCCCACTGAAAGATAGAACGATTCGCATGTAGATAATAAGCGCAGGAGATTCCGGTGGAGCCTATCGTTCGTCTAGTCTGCCGGGCGTGTGTCGGCCGCGTTCACTGAATGCTTTCCTATCGGGGGATTGGGTGGTGCGGAAGCCTGGTTTTTCCGGGATGGAAAGAGAAGAGCCTTGTATCTGAGAAGGAACAGAACGTCAAACCTCAAAGAACTTTCGAAAATTAAAAACGTTTAGTAGATAAGAGGGGTTGGCTGCTTTTCCTTTTTTTTTTTCTTTTCTCTAAGGGGAAGACGCACCTCGCTGTTTGGGTGTGGGCTTGGTTTCTTTTCACTTCTCCTTTTCTTCTCTTTCGTCTTTTTTATTGAGTGCATACGAATAAATCAAGGTTGTGGTGACGGCAATCTACTTTCTTGACGGGCATATTTTAAGTGGTGGTCCTGGCGGGAGGGAAATCAGGTGGGCGACTGACGGGCGGCTCGTCAATCCAGCCCAAAGGTCATTCTCATGCTGGCCTCCTCATTCTCCGGTTCTTTCGCCTTCAATGCGGGTTTACTACGATAGTGGCCAACGGTCGCGCAACTGATAATAGGAAAGAGCTGTGGTCATCAGAAATGCTCGGATGCCTTCAGCCCGAGGCAAAGTAAAAAGCACAGAATAGCCACTGACACAGTCCGGGCTTCCCTCAGAGGGTTGTGGTCTTGGCTTCACGACTAATGTCGATGTGTCGATCAAAGGAAGCTATTCTTTGCCCTCGGGATCTCACTCGAATGATCCTGTTCTTCCCTTTTCTCAATTCTTCTTCTTCCTCCTTTCGAGAAGTCTGTATATGTTAGTCTTCATGGACGTATGAGTCCTTGGCTTGGTTCCTCTCTAGTCATATCTCCCACCCCCCGATTCTCCGAGCTTCTCGCCTTCGTAAGGTTGTCTCCAACTGTGGATAGAAGTGAATATCTCTTCACTTCGTAACACACAGACCTATCTACGCAATGCAATAAGTCAACAATGAAACAAGAACAGATAGGCAGGTAAATCTGCCACCGCAAGATTGCGCCATTGTTGGCTTCAGAATTCACCAAGTGGCATCCTGATATTGTTAGTATGCAGTGGTGGGAGAGATTGCCGGATGCCATGCATGACATCTAACAGTCCCTCACCGCGTCGCGCATTAAGGCCAGACAGGTGAAAAATAAAGAGATATAACAGATCCCCAACAATAATGCGTAGCACGTAGACGCTGAAAGGGCACTGTAGCACTTTCTTTCAGTGCTTCGGTCAACAAAGATATAATTCTGTCTCGCCCAAAAGAAAGATAACGACGATGTCATCTGTGTGTTTACTTGAAAATAGTCACAAATATGAGGCACTCCCAGTCATGCTCCACTTCAATGGACAGCAGCAAGGCTTGTTGTCAGACGACAACACTTGTAAGATCTACCAATATGGCAAGGTACGCCTCGTCGAACTGAGGAGCAGCCAAGCATTATTTGCGGGCCATTCACATTCATCCACGATCTAGGAAATTTTAGAATCAAGAACCCGTGGGGATGCATACCTGATAGAACCTCGTAAGACACTTCGCCGAGCTTGCGAAAAGACCGGAAAGGTCCCGACGCTTGTTTCCCTGAATAACAGGTTCCCCAGAGCGCCGGTTAGTACTTGCATCAAAAGAGACGAGAAGGGAAACAATCAAAGGTATATTGTAGAAGAAACTATCTTTATAAAGTCTCTTGCCCTTGAATATGTCTAGCTTTCTTGCCTAATCAAGACGGTATATGGGTGCGAAGTGTTGGCTCATGACGTGTTAATGGGCGGTGGGGATGCGGAATTAGTGAGTAGGTCGGGACCAACCCAACAAACTGGGAATCACGGTATCGAGCAACCCTGGTAGGGTCCAGGCATCCCTAGGCAAGCCATACGATCCTATCCGGTCGATCGCGAAGTCGAATAGAACACCACAGCTAAGTGTGGGGGCCCAGAGCATGCAAGTGCATGGCATACGATGTTTAGGCGAATTTGGTGGGAGGTCGAGGTTACTGTAGGCTTGGACTTGGAGTACTGAGTGTGATCCACGTGATCCCGCGGGCCGGAGGAATCCACCTATATTATGCCTCAGGCATCAAAATATTGCGAGTGATCTAGTATGGATGTACTCCGTACCATCACTCATACAGCTCTGTTGTATTTGCAAAGCTTAACTTGGCTCAAAATATTATCCCTCATTTTTCTAACTAACAAAGCTCTCAACCTTGTAAACACAATCCCATTGAAAAAAGAGATACTGTTTATTGTGACTGTAAGTGCTATAGGCCTCTTTGAGCTTCAGGTACTTGAGTTAGGGCTGATCATAGATAGACAGTTCTAATAAAATCTATCTTATCCTTTAGATATCGAATTCCCTGGCCGACTTGTGGAAATGCAGATCACTGTATCTTTTCAGGATTTGTATTGTTGCTTAGCAAAGTTGAGAATGAATTTTCTGAGCGCGGAATGATTTAGCGTACACAAATGACCGAATTATCTTGTTCTTAGTACAAACTTTTGCCATGTCTAGGTGAAATTGGGTTAAAGAATTCATGGTCACCAGGACAGTGAATCGTAAAGTTTTCTCCGTGTATGGTCAATGAAAAAAAAAAAAAAAAAAAAAAAAAAAAAAAAAAAAAAAAAAAAAAAAAAAAAAAAAAAAAAAGAAAGAAAGAAAGAAAGAAAGAAAAGAAAAGAAACAGAGGAGCATGGACAGTCTCTGTACTGCAAACAAGGTCCCATCACAATTTCCCTACTTCCAATACAAACCCCTATCCCACAGCCCCACCTCAAAATAAACAAGGCCAACGCACGGGTCTCGGGTAGATGTCACTGGCGTTCTAGTAAAGACCCGACTAGTTCAATTTCACAACATTTTGCCAGTCAATACCTTGCGCATCCGCCTGTCGCTTCATTTCTTCATCCCAAGGAGTTGCGGCTTGAGCGGATCGTGAATAGTAACGGGCCCCGTTACCCATCAAGAAGATGTCCTTGTACATATCACCAAGGTTAAGCTGCCTTCTGGCCATTTCCCTCAAGATGAGCTCATCTGGTTGGACAAATTTTGTGACTCTTTCATGTCGGCCGTATCCTTCATATTGAAGTGCTCCAACCTCGTGAGGAGGAACCCCATAAACGTACAGATCAGTCTCGTGTGGCAAAGGAGTATACTTCCAACGGACAAAGGATTTGAGAGTCTCAAACTCGTTTCGAAGAGCAACATCCCTCAAGACATCCCAAACAACGGTCATAGTAGGCTGAGCCATCAATAAATGGTATAAACGGCCCGTGATATTCGAACGTTTCTTCCTCAACAACGCATCGAGCTGAGCAATGAAGAGCATTGCGAAGAAAAGTTCGATATCTTGCCACATGTTACGGTTCGCTATTGTCCATTCACGACGTCTGTTATCTGGGATATCCATGAGGAACCAGAGCTTCTTGATGGCTGGCTCAGATGGCTTCGGCAACCCATGACCCGCAACGAGCATTTTTTCCATAATATTCTTGACTGTTTTCTCGCGGTAGATGATCATTTGCAACCAGCAAAAGGACGGCGCAAGGTTGTTTTCACCTACAATGTCGCGAGCAGGAATAAGTTGCCGCCTGACATTTGTATCATCGATGCACAGCCTCGAATAACATCTGAATGGAAATATTTGAGAAGATTCGGGAGCGTCCCGCGTCGCCTGGCGTTTGATGATATCTGAATAGTTTCTCTTCACAAACCGATTGAAGGGCTTGGAGGTTGCGAGTAAATTGATCAAATTTTCAACGTTGAGATACATGGTGAACTCAAGGGCTAAACCTTGATGATAAGTGAAAGCTAGGAGGATGTCGAAGCTATTGTGTGGGAGGTCTGTGGTATTTGAGCTCATGCTACCGGTATCCTGAGCGGTATTACTATTACTCACTGGTAGAGGGCTGATCGAGCCGCGAGACAAGGTAGGGAAAAGTTGAAGTCGAGGCTGTGGTCTATCCTGCTGATGAGACACGGCAAGACGGCTATTTCGCTGCGGGGGACGCCGAGTCTCTGCCCTTCTAATCCGACTCCCTTCGGAGGGTTGATGGGATCTTTCACTAGCATGAAGCTCAGATTGACGTCCATTCGAAGCACTCGATCCTTCGTGAGACACTGTATTCCTACTTTGAGCAGCTTCGGATCGAACCCCAGCCATAGGTTGCATTCTCAAACCTGCACCAGGATTGTTGGCGCTCCTGAAGATTGGCTGTCTCTGAGGAGATAGAGGACCGTGGGAACCCCTAGTTGGCTGAACAGGAAGTGGGTGAAGTACGCCAGTGAACCTCGCAGGTGGTATTTGGGGGATTGAAATACCGTTGTTCGTGATCTGCATCAAAGAAGGATTATTCGGCCTGTTCACAATGCCCTGGCTCCCGCCCTGGGTCTGGCTAATTGCGGGAGGCCTCATTGGTATCATATTCTCAGGCGCAATTCCTGCCAGTAGCTGCTGCCGGATGAGGTATGTCTGCAGAGCCTTGTCTGAAGCTGTCATAGTGTCCGTTGTGGTCTGAGCTGGGACAAAGCGTGAACCAGGGCTGGATCGCCTAGCTGGCTGAGCTGGGTTCGAAGTAGACGAATGCTCGGAATTAGTGGCGGTCGGATAAATGCTCTGCCCAGCATGTGGTGTGTTGCTTTGCATCGAGGCCTCTAGATGGCTACCCCTTCTAGGTTCGTTTGAAGCAGTGTGCTGTTCATGGCGAAGTCCATGTTCTCTCGAAGGGGCAGAGAGCATAATCAAAGTCTGAGCCGCTTCAATATCCTTATCATCTAGCGCCTCCATCTTGTTCGGTCTTTTCGTCACGACGTGCGTGATTAGAGAGTCTTTGGAGATAGTATGGTCAGCGATCTGGTGGAGATACAATTTCGCAAGTGTCAGGACGACGGGGAACACAAACCTTTGAAGCCTGATGAAGGACGATTACTACTAATACTTGCAGAGTAACTGGAAGTATAAAGCGCTCATCCTAGGGCTCAGGGTATTTAATGGCAGGCTTAGCTCTCTTGTGAGACAAAACATAAATTATTATTGATATTTGTACCCCTAGAGTGAATATGCATGTCCTATAAAATAGCCCAAAACATGACATCCAGTGAATCTAACCGTAGAGAATGTCTTCAGTGTCAGTATTAAGACACGGAGCGCGGACTTGGCACTCAAATTCACAAAAAGCACGCCACTGTAATGAGACAAGCTCAGAAATCAATAATGTCGCAGTAGTTCAGAGAGTGAATCACTATACAAACCAGTCCTTGTTCACCCTAAGGAAGTGAATTTCTGAAGCTGGGCTGTGTCAACAGTCTCCACTGCGGTGTCCGGTTGCTATAGATGCTGAATGCTCACTAACAACAAAATTTATTCAGAAAATTCAGGAAGAAATGTTAGCGTCAAAGACAGTGTTGAATTAAGATTGAGTATCGTCTCATAACGTAATAAGGTCATATGCTAATAGCTGAGCTGAGTTGAACCCTATCATGAGGATTGCTCTCCCTCATCTTTCCTTTCATCACCTCGTGTGCCCTCTATTGGTTCTGTATGTATTTCCACAAAGGCGGCCCGAGTAATATGACAAAAGTTGTGCATGATCTGCTGCAGCGAAATAAAGGATTCCAAGATGTATACACAAGTAGTGCTTATAGGATGAAAATAAGTATAAGAAGAAGAGAATAAAAGATCTGCCAACCGTGTAGCACGATAAAAAAAAATTCAAAACAACCAGACCCAAATAACCTGTTGAGAGGTAAACCGCCCCGAACTCCGTTCCAAATCATGAATACCATCCACTGTTAAAAAGGGGGTAAAAAGTATGTGTTACAAACCACGTAGAAGACGTTATCTCCGGTGCAAAAGAGTCAAAAATTCCTCCCTGGTCTTTGCGCTAGATCGCATACATCCCAACATGCAGCTCGTCGTGGTGGTGCTGCTTGTTTTTTGCACACCGCGCATAACCATACAAAGGTGCGAGGACTCCATGACGACACCAACACCTAATGGCTTCAAGACCTCCGATATGGCGAGCGCGACTTGTTTTGTAAGGCGCTCCTGCACCTGCAGTCTCCGAGAGAACATTTCCGCCAGGCGCGCCAATTTGGAAAGCCCAAGAACACGGCGATCAGGGATATAGCCGATATGCATCTACGGTGAAGATAACTGATCAGCAAGGTTGTATAGTCCAAATCCAAGACATAATCCATACCTTTCCCATAAAAGGAACCATGTGGTGTTCACATAGAGAGAAGACCTCGATATCCTTGACAATAACTAACTCATCGTGGTCCTCATGGAAAACTGCGCCATTGACCAGATCCCTGACATTCTCCTCGTAGCCTTTGGTGAAGTAGAGCATGGCTTTGGCATATCTCTCTGGGGTCTCCCGCAAACCTTCTCTCTCTGGATCCTCTCCAATACACTCCAGAATGGTTCTCACTGCTCCTGCTAATTTTTGAACTCGTTCTTCAGTTTCCTCGGGCGAAGACTCCAACCGCGCCCTTGTGCCGGGGCCTATCGGGCAAAAATAGTTAGACGATATGTTCATTGTAATATTAGCCGTGTCACTTACAGGGCCAGCTCAGTCCATCAAAATCGATTGGAGGATATAGAGTGTATGGACTTGCTGGGCGGCTAGCTGTCGACGGTGGGGTCAAAGCCCGGGTGTCATCTCTTGGATCACGGGGCGGGTCATTCAATGATGGTCTAGAAACCCAGTTAGTCACGAGCTGAACGTCAAGGTGTACAAACGACATACTTCACCGCGCCTGAGACCGTATTCGATTCGTTAGTGACGGGGGTAGACTCGTCGACAGCGTGTGCGACGGTTTCTGGCAAATTGAACTCTGCCGGGACACGGGGGGCAAATGAGGAGCGAATAGATGAGTTGAGACTCTCCCTTTCGCGAGCACCACGAGAGTTCATGGTGGAATTGAGCGAAGAACTCCCGTTCAACAGACGAGGCGGAACAGCGGATTTAGGCTTCGAGCCTTGAGGAGGAGATCCAGAACTCATGATGGAGGTGGAGGAAGGTGAACACAGATGAGTAATTCTAAGTAGGTAGGTATGTGGAGGGGGAATGTGTCCGCCGATGAATTGGCCGGGCCAGAGCTTTTTAGTATGCAGATGACGGAGAAACAGGTGACAAATTCAGAATCTTTGGATCATAACAGTTGCAGTAATCATAAGGTTATCCTGACATGCAATAATGAGACATATTTATGATGGTTTTGAGGAGGGGCAGAAAAAAAAATAAGCTAAGGAGGGGACACCGTTTTGGAATGGCGACATTCTTGACGGGGCCGATGGACGATTGGACCTTCTCCGGTGCCGATCTGATTGTAACTGCTCACCGCCTGCGGGATCGGCCAGTGACGGCAAATCCGCTGACCTCAAAGTGGACGTACCTCAGTCCCTGTATTGTATTATCATTACCACTTACTATATATTAACATCAACGATAATTCTAATCACATTCTGCCGATCCAATACTAGTAATATGACTGTTTACTTGAATCTGTGTATTGTCACGGGTATCGAAATAGATATTTCTTCCAGAATCGCCTACTCATTCTCGTCAATCCAACTGGATTTACGGAGTACTACTTACTTTTTTCGTTCATGTCATTTTTCTAGTTGTACTACTATACTCCATCCTTCCTTCCTTACGACACAATACTCCTCGTGTATGTATGTATGTATGTATGTATGTATGTACATACTAGTACTAGTACATAAATTTTACACCATTGTAGCTTATGGAACCTTAGTTTGTCGTACAGCTCTAATTCGGCTCGACGAGATGACTCAGTACGTTTTTCCCAGAATCTCGCGCACTATCCGCATCCCTTGAAGCTTTGGCTATCCCGGGGGACCAATGGCCTTAGGATCAGTTACCGATCTTACTGTACCTTATACAAATTTTACCAGATACACGGTATCTCCGACTCAGGGAAACTTATACTCTTACAGGCTGTATCATCCATCCTACTTGTAGGTTCCCTCTAAAATAATCGGGAAAGTATGGAGCTGATTCGTTCCCTGAAACCCCGCGGACTCAATGGTGTGGAACCAAATCGAGCCTTCATCCCTACCCTGGTAGTCTCAGAGTTCCTTATGAACATGAACCGAGTATTTCTTCTCTATCGGATGGTTAAGCCTAACTGTCTTGAGTCATTGTTCTAGACGAAAGCAGAATCATTATTTCCTCCGGAACTCATTAAAAATAGCAAGGTTAGCAGGAAGATCCACACCTACGAGCTCTGTAAAAGCACCCTAGAATATCCGATACTTAGCGTCTTGCAAAGCTACTCGAGCTCGGGAAGGCATAGTATTATACAGTTGAATCTAGTAAATAGCGGTGATCTCGATACTGTCTATTGCTCAGCATTAATAGGTAAATATAGCTGGATGGTCTTCTCTCCACGACAATCCATCCTCATTGTATACAGCGCGCCAAGATCCGTGTGATTATTCAGGTACATGGAAGGGAAATAGCGCTTAGGACCTACTGCTCCCGAGTCTTAGTATTGATGCGACACCATATATTAGTACAGCAATCCTGCAATCAAACAAACCAATCACTACTAACTAGCGGGCTGTATCTATTAAGGTCTTGATTCGTTTCCATAGTCCCTGAAGTTAGGTGATCACGGATACACCACATTCATCCATAATAAATGAACCCTCTTCTAGTGCGTGTATGAGTGCAGAGGTATAGTGGGAAATTAGGACATTAGCGGAAGTGGTAAGGGGCATCCCCTGAGACGGGATATCACGCGAAGCGATAGTGATTGATCTCTGGTAAAGGAAATACATTGGTTGCGCGAGAGTATTCAGGAAGTCTGGTCAGACTGTAGTGTTGTTCTTCTGGTAATGATTATCAATACAGCGAATGCAAAACTTTCGTTCTAACACAAGCTCACATATCTCTTTCTCATTGATATTTTCGTCCTGTCTGCAGCACTTATACAAGATCCTAGAATATTGCCGTATCGGGTAATAAAATCCTCGGGATATTGGATGTTAACATGGAATTAATCAGGCCTCCAATTCCTCAGTTGGCACATCCTCCAAGTCCTTACCAACAATAGCATCAGCAACCTTCCACACCTGTAACAGATTGTCTTCAGCAGCAGAACACAGAACCCATGGGTCGTTAAGGTTCCAACTGAAGTCAGAGATACGGTTGGTGTGACCACCATGCATGAAGAGGCTGTAGAAAGGCCAAATTAGCAACCAATGTTCGTAAAGCGAAAAGCACCACTAGAGTAACGTACAGCTCAGGGGGTCCATCCTGTGCATCATCAGGGGTTTGCTCCTCGCCACTCCGGCTAAGATCCCAGAACATAATTTTACGATCATAGCTTGCACTAGCCAAGACAGCTTCCTCGAACGGATGCCAAGACAAGGATGTTACAGAGTCGGTATGGCACTCGAGTGTGTGCAGTTTAGTCTTGAGATTGCGCAGATCCCAGAGACCAATGGATTTATCAGCTGAACCTGTCGCGAGAACGGTTTCTGCAGCAGGGTTAAATGCAATTGCGTTGATTGCATCACGGTGTTGGCCTTCCGCAGAAGCTGCCGCACGACTTGTTTCTGCTTCTCGGATGTCAAGGATTTGAAGGGTGATATCATCGGAAACTGTGCCAATGAGAGAAGAATGGAGTGGGTGGTACTGAACATCGTTGACAATCGACGAATGATGGGTGTATGTACGAGTTGGCTTCAATGCCTTATTGCCTTTCGTGTACGTCGTTAAGTCCCTGCAATGAGAGTTAGTTTTTAGAGGGTGGACACAGCGACTGGAGTACAGTGCAATTACCAGAGTCGGACAGTCTTGTCTTCGCTACCTGTGACGAGGTGACCTGTGGTGTGCGGGCTCCAGCTAAGACCAAATCCTTCCTTCGTGTGACCTAGAAGCTCCATTTGAGGGTTCACTGTGCCAGTAGGCAGGCTGGGGTGTTTGGAGCGATCCCAAATCATCACCCTTCCATCCGTACACATGGTGGCAATCACATTGGGGTTTTGAGGTTGATAGCGCGCCTTGTTTACTTCGCCTTTGTGATCAATCTTCTGGACAATATTGAACTTGATTTCCATTGGGGCCTTTTTGGAGCTACCGCCATAGCCACCAATTTCCCCACGCTCTTCATCGTAGTCGTCCGGATTAGGAGCCGAAGGGTTGGGAAGTTGCACATGAGCAATTTGTAGATAGTTTTGTGCATCACTTGAGGTGTGTGTACCAAGCAGCAATCGATGAGTTGAATACGGCTTGTCGGGGACCCTATAAAGGTTAGATTCATATAGCACAGCTAACAGTGAGACAGGCGCATACTCTTGCTTGTCAGGAAGCCATTGTGTTGTAAGAGTAGGCCATTCTAATGCCGTACTAAGAATCATATCGTATAAGAAAGGCGCATTCTTCTTCCAAGTTTTGTATTCTGATTTAAGCCTTTAGTCTCATAATCGAATCCTGAGGAACAAAACTCAGTCACCTTCGTTAATGACTTTCTCCTCAGTACGCTCTTCCTCCTGCTCTTCCTGTTCCTCAATAAATCCTAAAGCGACGAGGAGTTAGATTCGTTTGCGCAAATAGAAGTGGAACAGAAATCGCACCGTCGTCGTAGGGCTCCATGACTATCGTAGGAGATCACTCTAAGACAGAGAATAAGAACAGTGTTTTGAGGGATAATTATGAAGTAACTATACAAATTGCACCATAAGAGGGAGAATAAACGTTGTTATATGAATGAAAACTGTGTAAGGCCAACGGTGACAGAGCTTTGAGCTGCAGACTGAGCTCTCCCGCTGGAGAAACGCGACCTTCCCGTTGACAGCGCGTTAATGGGCGCCCAGAAAAGCTAAACCATTTTCGGTAATCACGGCTTGGCGCCATCATCTCCATCCTTGACCTCACGACCGCTGACTCGGCAGAGTCACCAAACCTCGCTGATCTTTATGATTCTTAAAGGCGCTCTCGCCTTCTTTTAATGTTTCTTTCTGTTTGGAACATCGTTTTATTTCTTTTTAGTTTGGAATCCCACGTTCTCTGAGAATTCGCAGTCAGCTGTTCCTGTCTATACGATCGCATTACCCATTCATTGAATGATTTGCCCCCGACTTCGATTACTTCTTCGCTTCTGACGACTGCGACGACCACCACGACAGACTAGAGACCTTCACATTTTCTTATCTCTACAATATAGCCTTCAGGGGATTTCATTGTATTGATTCATCATGGGTGTTCCTAAGTTCTTCCGCTGGCTGAGCGAGCGGTATCCTGCGATCTCAATGCTGATCGCAGAGAATCGGATACCTGAATTCGACAACCTGTACCTCGACATGAATGGTATTATTCATAATTGTACGCACAAAGATAGCGACTCCCCTACTTTTCGCATGACCGAGGATAAGATGTTTATCGCCATATTTAATTATATCGAGCATCTGTACGGCAAAATCAAACCAAAGAAACTCTTCTTTATGGCGATTGATGGTGTTGCCCCTCGGGCCAAAATGAACCAACAGCGTGCACGACGATTCAGGACAGCTTTGGATGCTGAGGTTGCGAAGGAAAAAGCCATTAGCCAAGGAATTGAGATGCCCAAGGAGGATGCTTTCGACAGCAATTGTATTACCCCGGGCACGGAATTCATGGCTAAACTGACAGAACAATTAAAGTATTTCATCAGCAAGAAGATATCGGAGGATAAAGATTGGCAAGGAGTCGAGATCGTACTATCAGGTCATGAAGTACCAGGAGAAGGTGAACATAAGATCATGGAATACATCCGGCATGCGAAAGCACAGCCAGCTTATGACCCCAATGTTCGCCACTGTCTTTATGGTCTCGACGCCGATTTGATCATGTTGGGACTCCTCAGTCATGACCCTCACTTCTGTCTTCTTCGTGAGGAAGTAACGTTTGGGCGTCAAGTCCAGAAAAAGCCCAAGGAACTTGAACATCAAAACTTCTACCTTTTACACTTGTGCATGGTCAGAGAGTACCTAGAATTGGAGTTTCAGGAGTTGGAACGGAACGACGTTTTGAGCTTTTCTTTTGATATGGAACGGGTTATCGACGACTTCATCTTGATGGC